GTGGGTGGGTGGCACACTGCATGTTTACATGTATGTTGAACCCCAGACAAAAGCAACAGGAAAATGCAAGTTAGTTTCAACATGTCTTTGACACACCTGTGCTAGGAACTGTCTCAACAGCAGCAGGTACAAAGTAATCAAATGTCCAGGAGTACGGAAGACAAAAGCCAGCTAAAGAGCTGGGGGAGACGGTGAGGCCCTGAAGAAGACCTGAGTTCAGTCCCTTGACACCCACGTAAAAGCCAGATGTGGCTATACACAAGGTGTTGGGGTCAGAGGCAGGAGGAAGGGGTTGGGGGCTCTCTGGTTGCCAGCCTAGCTCAGGCTCCGGGAATAAAGCAAAGAGGGATAGAGCAGGATGCCGCCACAGGGCCAGGAACATGCACATGTGCCTGAACACATGTACACACACACACACACACACACACACACACACTTCAAAACAATGAACTCCATTGCTCTGCACATTCATCAACAGTGTTTGTTACGTATCTTTCCAGAACTTTCCATATCCTCAAGGATGATGATGAAGTGCCAATCACTGAGTATTTTCTAGGGTCAAGTGCTAATCACTTGCCATGGATGTTTACAATTCTTTGTTGGGACCACATTCATGACTGGATAGCTGGCCTGGAGCACAGGGGGCAACATACAGGTTTTTATTTGGGGAGGTGAGGCTCAAGAGAGACCCTACGATAGAGTATTGGGGGGAGGGAGGCATGCATTAAAAGAGTAACTAACGCCACAGACAGAGTGGTAGCAGTGTGTTGGGGCTCAGGAGAGCTCAGTTCCAGCAGCAGAGACAAACGGCATGGACCCATGGCAGAAGGGGTCTGTCCTTTTACCCTCTGAGGATGAGCACCGCTTTCACAGCACACGGTGCATCCAGGCTCTCCAATCCCCAAGCAGGAGTGTGTGTGTGTGTGTGTGTGTGTGTGTGTGTGTGTGTGTGTATCTCTTTGAGACCTCCCCGGGCATATGACACAGTCAGTTTTGAGAACGTGATGCAATATTATTTCAGACCATCTCAAACCTATCTTCTAAGGTTGCTGTACATCCATCCAATGCCTTTTAGGATGCAAGCACAGGCAGGTGAACTGAGTCTTACAATTCTCTGTGGTCCATAAAGACTAAGATGTCTCTCTTAGACATTTCAGAGTAATTTCCTGGAATCTAATTATTAGCACCATGGTCTTGGAAGATGCCAAGTTACCTCTAATTCTTTATTTTTTAATACATTATTTATCAACTGTTGGGAGTTGGTTCTCTCTTTCTACCTATTAGGTCCTGGAGATTGAACGCAGGACATCAGGCTTGGCTGAGCCCTCTCTCCAGCCTGTCCCTCTGATCCTTATGTCCATTGTCCCGGTTGGAAAGGGGCTAGTGTCTAGTATTAGCCTTTCTCTCAAGACAACACAGTCTGGGGCAGAGAGCTTAGCCCAAACCTCAGCACCCACGTGCCTTGTGTGGCAACCCTGAGCAGGGCTCACACCTGTGCAGCCCCGGGAACTGGACCGTCTCGTTGACCGAAAGCACTGACACCATCTTCAGGGTATGTGCGTGGTGTCTGGGACCGTGGGTTTGTGCTTTTGCCGTTATCTGAGGAAGAACAGACTTTCCTGGCACATCAGAGCGTCTGCCAAGCTCAGATGGGCACCTTCGGCCCCGTGGTACTCCTAGCTGTTTCAGAAAGGAGCCCACAGCCCCTGGGCTCCTTGCTGCCTACGAGAGGGTGTCGGAACCACAGTTAGAAACACAGCTCATCTGTCCCAGCTGGGCTTGTTCAGTTGGGCAGGCACATTCACCAGCTCTGACTCCACTGAGTAAATTCAGACTGTTGGTCATTAGTTCCAGAAAATCCTCCCTGGCCCTCACCCTTGCCCTGGCTCAGGCAGAGTCCCTTGCCTACCTGTCCCTTTGCCTTCCTGTGGCCCACTCCTCTCCTGTGCTGGACTCCTTTAGAACTGCAGCTTATCTTACTGATTGTTGTTCACAGTCTCACTGACAAAATAAAAATGAAAATGGAAGTACATAAACACATAAGCTAAAAAGCAACAGTCTTCCGCCTGTCTTTTCCTACTTCAGCCCTACTCTTCACCAAGGAGATCATGTATAGTGTTTGTTACAAATCCTTCCAGAACTTCCCACCTCCAAGAATGATGATGCTAACAAGAGCACCACCCACTGAGTGTGTTCTAGGATCAGATGCTGACCACTGCTCATGAATGCTCTTAAGTGAGCCCATCAGGCCTTTAAGACTAGTGTTATTTTTATGGCCATTTCCCAACAGAAGCCATGATGGAACCTACTAGACAGGAAAAAAAAGTCAGAATGTGAACCCAGGTAGGCTGACTTCAGAGCCTATGCTTGTTATTTTGCCACTTGGTTTTGGAATTTGGAATGTGCTAAACATGTCTTCAAACTCACCCTCACAATTCTGGTTGCTTTTCTTTAAGCTTAAAGTGTGTGTGTGTGTGTGTGTGTGTGTGTGTGTGTGTGTTCACCAACATGTGGATGCAATGTCACAGCTCATAGAGATCAGAGGACAACTCTGTAGAGCTGTGGGAATGGAACTCAAATTGCCATACTGGCTTGGAAACTGCCTTTTACTGAGCCATCGTATCCATAGTTTTTCTTCTCCTGTAGATACAAATGCAAAACCCCTACCCCAATGTAACACATATCACTATGTGGCTCAAGCTGGCCTCCAACTCATGACCACCTTCTCTGAACCTTTCTGGTGCTAGGATTTCAGGTATGTCCCACTACAAGCAACTATTGGTTTGTTTTTACTTTCTTTTTCTTTTTCTTTCTTTTTTTTTTTTTTGCTTGTTTGTTTTTCAATGTTGCTTCAATATTCTATAAAATGAAGTTAGCCATTCTTGTATCAAAAACAAACAAACAAACAAACTTTTGGGGCTTTAAATTTCTCTATTTCATCAAGCCTAAGATTCTTTTATGGCTAGAAGCATCCAATTTCAGAGAGATAAAATGTTTTAAAATGTGCATCTTGGAATTTGTATAATAATTAGAATTAATGCTTCAAAAAAGCATGCTTGTCCATAAATTTTCATGTGTGAATTTTATAGTAATTCACTAGAAGTAAAATTGTCTATAAAAATGAAGAATTTTTTTAAATATAGATACTGTTAAAATCCCTCTAGAAGACAATATGTCAGTCACGAGAGTCTCTGGTTCCCTTAACAAAAATGTGTCACATTACAGGTAATAATTTAAAAAAAAAAAAACTAAATATATGTTCAGTGAATGAAATGCAAAGCATGGGCTAGCAAATTCAATGCATTTTAAAAAATAAGCACATGACAGACAATGTTTTTTGTTTTGTTTTGTTTTTTATGACTATATGGTGGGTGGCACACACCTTTAATCCCAGCACTCCGGAGGCAGACACAGGTGGATCTCTGTGAGTTCAAGGCCAACCTGGTCTATAGCGTGAGTTCCAGGACAGTCTCCAAAGCTACAGAGAAACCCTGTGTTACAAATAAAGTGCGAGGAACCTTGGCGGATTCCATGGCAGGCAAGGTTGACTAAGGCCAGAGACAAACATGCCCGGCAGACTGCCTAGTGAGGAGTTTTATTAGAAAGGGAAAGGAGAGTAAAGAACAGAAGTAAAGAGACACGGAGACAGAGAGAGGACAGAAGAGAGAGACGGGAAAAGTTCTGTCTGCCCCAGAGGACCAGCAGGAAAGCGAGAGGCGAAAAGAGAGGAAAAAGGGAGCAGAGCGCATAAGTGGGCGGAGGTCTGCGGCCTGAGGGCACTCTGCCAGGTGACAGGGGCAGGCAGGCCAGCAAAAAAAAAAAAAAAAAAAAAAAAAACAGCGTAGAAATGAGAACATTTTAGTAAAGCACTAAATGCTACCACATTTTATGCATAAAGTGTTTGCTCTAGTTCCAAGGCCCCTTACAAAATGCCGTATCAAAAGGCCATACTCTCAAACAACAGTAAGAACCCACTGATAACGCCAGTGTTTTTAAGCCACCAAAGCTCCTACAGAGGAAAAGATAAAAATCCCAGGAATGTCAAGGTCTGCCATTTTCCTCAAACACCAGAAAGATGACCTGCTCCCCCACCTTAGCCCACAGAAATTCCGATGTGGCAGGTCCTGCGAGGCCGCTGTGCGAATACACTCTTCAGTGAGAGCCAATGCACCTGAGGGGTGGACCTAGACATGTTTTGTTTTTAAGATTATGAGGGGCTGGCGAGGTGGGTAAGAGCACTATCTGCCCTTCCAGAGGACCCGGATTCAATTCCCAGCAACCACATGGTGGCTCACAACCATCTATGCTCGAATGTGCATGCAGCACGGAGGTCAGAATAGGAGGGTCGCGATCACCTGGAACCTAGGGCGCGAATAGTTGTGAGGCCGGAATCGAACCCGGGTACTCAGCAAGGGCGAGAGCGCCCAAACCGCCTTGCAGAGTAACCGTCCCTTCAGCTCCTGGCTTCCTAACCCGAGTCGCCCTTAGAGGGTACAACCTTGGAGCGAGGTGGGCGGCACCGCCCAGGGCATCGTCCGGGGCTCAGTCGGGGAGGAGGGCGCGCGCGCGAGCGCCTCCTGCCGGCCGTCAGCGAGCCCGTCCCGGGGGCGGCGGCCCGGAACGACCCACTGCGACTGCGCGCGGGGGCCGGGGAGGCGGGGGAGGGTGGGGGGAGCGAGCGAAGACTCCCGGAACGGAAACGGAAGTGACGGCGTGCCAGCCGCCGGCGGGCGCTGCGTCCCCACTGCCCATCCTTCCTCCTTCGCCGGGGCCCGGCCGGAAGCGGAAGTGGCTTGGGGGCGGGGCGGGGCGGGGCGGGAGAAGTCGCGGGACGGGTGTCAGGTTACGCTCGCGCTCCCGTTGGCCGCGTCCTCGCCGCGGCCGCCTGCCGGGAGCAGGTAACGCGGGGCTCGGCGTGCGCACGCGCGCGGCCCGGGGGGCGTGGTCCGCGGTCGGTCCCGGGGGCCCGGCCCGCCCCTTCCCCGCTCGCCTCGCCGCGCCGCGCCGCGCTTCGCCTCCCGGTGTCCCCCGCAGGCAGACCCCCGCCATGGGCAACACGAGCAGCGAGCGCGCCGCGCTGGAGCGGCAGGGCGGCCACAAGACGGCGCGGAGGGACAGCTCCGGGGGCGCCAAGGATGGGGACAGGCCCAAGATCCTGATGGACAGCCCCGAGGACGCCGACATCTTCCACTCGGAGGAGATCAAGGTGCTGGGGCCGGGGGCCCGGGGCGATCGGGGCGTCCGAGCCCGCCGGCTCAGGCCGAGGCCGAGGGCGGGGCCCCTTCCTCGGCTGCGATCCCGCCACTTCCCCACCCTCACGCCTGCAGGGAGCTGGCCCCGACACTGCCCCGCTTGCTGCCCGGGAACCTGTGCCTAATTACCGATGGGAGAGTCGCCCTGGGCTCCGTGGAACATCACTTAAGGAGAAAGCAGCTCTGGGACCGAGTCTCAACTAATGAATTCAGTCCTAATTGATTAAGAGTCCAGCTAGCTGTAATTGGGCACCGGCGCCTGCTTTTACTTTCCTCTTGGGTGTAGTTGATTGCACGGCCGTGCGGAGACTTCCCCGCAGCCTCAGGGCGACCCGCTTGGGGTGCAGAAGTTGGGTTGGGAGTTTTAGTGTTTGTTTTGGAGCACGTATGTTGAGCTGAAGAGGAAGCTGGCTGGCTGGCTGGCGGAGGTGTCCGTGGTTCGGGCACTTTGGTCCACCCATGCTGACTCTTTTAGATCCGGCGGTTGCGTTTGAGGAGGTCAGTGGCCAAGAGTCACTCTTGGACAGCAGCCAGCAGCTAGCTACTGCTACTCGACTTATGTTTTACTTAAGTAATGACCCGGACTTTAAGCAGACTAGAGCAATGCTCTCCGCCTCCCCTCCGCCCCCCCCCCCAAGGCGAAGCTGAAAGTCCTGCTTGAGCCACATTCCCTTAACCACAGTGATGTGGTCAGTACCCTCTGCCCCGTCCAATGGCATTGGGAGATTCTAGTGGGAAGATCTAATTCCTTAGAATAAACCGCAGTTAGGAAGGTTCACTCTGACCAGCACAGTCTGTCACTGTCTTGTTGGCCATAACTTAACCGGGCTAACGGCCTGGTCACTCGGCTCTTACTCAGCGCCGCCCCCACATTGAGCTAGGTAGACACATTGCCGTTCTTTGGATCTTAATTTTGAGTCTAACTTGGAAGAGCCTGCATCTTGCCACTGTAGCTTCCTCTCTGGGCCTGTACTGTGGGGGAAAGGTGTGTGCTGTGATCTTTGGAGTGCTGTTTTCTCACTGAGCTGAGAGTGTCCCCACCCCTAGAAGTACTTTTGGCCCAAGGCTATTTTAGAGGAAGTAAGTATTTGTTGTGGCAGGTGAATTGCCAGTGTGCCCTCCCTCTGTCCTCTGCCCAGAGCTGAGTAAACTTTCTTTTTAAGAAGGACTAGGTGGTGTTGCTGTTCTCCACGGGATTGGGGGTGGGGTGGGGTGGGCTGGGACTTAAGTAGCATTCCTTCTAGTTTTATCAGTAATAAATGGGCTACCCAGTCAAGACACAAATTCTTCCCATTACCCCAGTTCAACTTTGTGGCTACAGTTAGTGGTCTCTCTAAAGCACTGGTTCTCAACCTGTGGGTCACAACCTCTGTACAAAAAAATATACTTACATTATGATGCATAACAGTAGGGAAATTACAGTTATGAAGTAGCAAGTAAAATAATGTCATGGTTGGTTGGGGGGTCACCACAGACGGAGGGACAGTGTTAAAAAGTGGAAGCTGGAAGGTTGAGAACCACTGTTGTAAAACTGTTGTGGTGTGTTGTTTAATCTGTAGCACAGATCCAAAGACTGAAGGCATCTTAGATAAGAGCAGATCCTATCTTGGGTGAAGGCAATAGAACTTTCCCTGAGCTCCCTTCGGGGCCTTTTCCCATCCTAGAAATCTAGCCTTTGGCCTTTCTTCTGACTGAAGGACTGTTTTACCCCAGGGTAACATCATTAGATGTTATCATTTGACACAGTGAAGGGGCCCGGCTTCTTTCTTTATCCATTTCTTCCGGGCTAGGTGAACAGCCCTGAGGCTGTCTCTAATAAATTGTTATGTACCAGAAGTCTTGCTTAATGGAGGGAAGTCTCACGTATTAAACCCACCCTGACTGATGGCAGTCTTCTTCCAAGTAGGCCTTACAGCTTCCCCTAGAATTTTTGCGAAACCTCGTGGCAGTAATGGTTGTTAGTGATTAAGCACTCACTGTGTGTCAGACTATCTCAGTCTTCACAAACTGACAGTAGCCGTTATTTTCACTATCTCCGTTTTTGCAGGGCTGGGGAGGGGGGAGGACAGACACAAGTCATAGTGAGTGGCAGGAGCTGCCTGATGAGATTGTGTTGTTGCTCTTAGCCAGCAGTCAGGTGTAGGGAGGCTGCCTGAGCTGCCTGACCCTGAGTAAACGTCTCTGCTTCTTAGGCTCCAGAGAAGGAGGAATTCCTGGCCTGGCAGCACGATCTTGAAGTGAATGATAAAGCCTCCGCCCAGGCCCGGCCAACTGTATTTCGATGGACAGGGGGTGGAAAAGAGGTCTACTTGTCTGGATCCTTCAATAACTGGAGCAAGCTTCCCCTCACGAGGAGGTAATGACCTGGGACTCGCAGTCTTGTTGCTTTATCTGTGGATATATTCTTTTTTCTGAAAGATCTCTGTGGGTGAACAGCACAAAGGATATTTTTGTAAGAGATGTTGAGTGCAAAAATACGTTGTTTAATGAGGTACAGGGTTCAGCTCTCAAACTGTAGATGTTGCTGTCTTTAAGTGCGTATGTTTTAGAAGACAGCGGTATGTCAGTGGAGAATATTTCTGAACCACACTTTCCAACACTTAGCTGCACATGTCTTAAAAATTTGCTCCAGGTGCAGTGGAGAGCGTGCTGGGCTGGGAAGCCCAGAGGCGCAGATCTGAGTCCTCATTGCCTGCCCTAAACATTCACTCTGTAAGGGACTATGGCCCGCCCCACCCTTCTGTTGCTTTTTGGAAGGTTGGAAGGTGCGTGCCCTGAAGTCATTAGCAAGGATACACTGAGGCACCTCCTCAAAATCCCAGTGCGGATTCCACCAGTGAGCACTTGTGATAACTAAATGAAGGGACAAACAGCATGGAGCTGGGCCGTGCCGGGGGCTGTCAGGGCCCCTGGCTTCCCATGGCTGACACAGAAGGAGGGTAGGTAGCTCAAGTCAGTGCAAGAGAGAACAAGTTTGTGTCTGTGCCAGTGTGCCCTGCACTGGCCATCTCCCTGTGTGGGGGGGGGGGACAGGGGAGCTGGGCAGTGTGTCTGCCTGTGCGGGCCCCCTCCCTGTGTGTGTGGGGGGGGGGGACAGGGGAGCTGGGCAGTGTGTCTGCCTGTGCGGGCCCCTCCCTGTGTGTGTGGGGGGGGGGGACAGGGGAGCTGGGCAGTGTGTCTGCCTGTGCGGGCCCCCCTCCCTGTGTGTGTGGGGGGGGGGACAGGGGAGCTGGGCAGTGTGTCTGCCTGTGCGGGCCCCCTCCCTGTGTGTGTGGGGGGGGGGACAGGGGAGCTGGGCAGTGTGTCTGCCTGTGCGGGCCCCCTCCCTGTGTGTGTGTGGGGGGGGACAGGGGAGCTGGGCAGTGTGTCTGCCTGTGCGGGCCCCCTCCCTGTGTGTGTGGGGGGGGGGGGACAGGGGAGCTGGGCAGTGTGTCTGCCTGTGCGGGCCCCTCCCTGTGTGTGTGTGTGGGGGGGGACAGGGGAGCTGGGCAGTGTGTCTGCCTGTGCGGGCCCCTCCCTGTGTGTGTGTGGGGGGGGACAGGGGAGCTGGGCAGTGTGTCTGCCTGTGCGGGCCCCTCCCTGTGTGTGTGTGTGGGGGGGACAGGGGAGCTGGGCAGTGTGTCTGCCTGTGCGGGCCCCTCCCTGTGTGTGTGTGGGGGGGACAGGGGAGCTGGGCAGTGTGTCTGCCTGTGCGGGCCCCCTCCCTGTGTGTGTGTGTGGGGGGGGACAGGGGAGCTGGGCAGTGTGTCTGCCTGTGCGGGCCCCTCCCTGTGTGTGTGTGTGGGGGGGGACAGGGGAGCTGGGCAGTGTGTCTGCCTGTGCGGGCCCCTCCCTGTGTGTGTGTGGGGGGGGACAGGGGAGCTGGGCAGTGTGTCTGCCTGTGCGGGCCCCTCCCTGGCACCCAGGCTGCAGACTTGTTGACCTTTCAGTCCTAGGGTCCCAGTGTCTGAGCAAAGGGAGTTTTCTGGAAACTCTGTCCGCTGCTTCATTAAGTGGCTTTTCTAGGCTGTGACCGAGAATTGTCCGAACTGCTTGGACATTGTCTGCTCCCCTGTAACCGAAGCCTCGGCTGTGCCTGGAGCCAGAGGGCAGCCCTCCGAGCTGAGACGCTTGCTTCCTCTCTTTCTGCAGCCAGAATAACTTTGTCGCCATCCTGGATCTGCCCGAAGGAGAGCACCAGTACAAATTCTTTGTGGACGGTCAGTGGACGCACGATCCTTCCGAGGTACTCTTCCTGCCGCCCCCGCCCCCTGGGTACCCACACAGCCAGCACCAGCCACCTCCCCCGGGGCCGCCGTCGGGTGTGGCTCCGAGTTAGATAGCGCTGCTCGCCAGGCCTTTGGTATAATTGACAAGAGTAGCTAGCCTGGTGTGAGACTGTCCAGCCAGGAGTTCTAGCCCTCTGAAAGTCCAGACCTTCCATGTTATGATGTCTGCCTGTCTGTCTCTTCCCAGCCAATAGTAACCAGCCAGCTTGGCACAGTTAACAACATCATCCAAGTGAAGAAAACTGACTTTGAAGTGTTTGATGCTTTAATGGTGGATTCCCAAAAGTGCTCCGATGTGTCTGGTATGAACAGTTACTTTATCCCACACGTGTGCAGGCTGGGCTCCGCAGCCTGGACTTACACGCTCTCATTCCCTCGCCTCTCACGCTTGAGCAGGAGCTGTCCCGCCAGATGGGCGGTCATAGCTGTCTGGGCCACAGCAGTGTATCCCTAGTTCTGTCAGCTCCCGCTGTTAGCCTTTAACCCCAAAGGAGCCATAAGTCAGTACCCTGGCCTCTGGGCTGTTCTGTAGTTCCGCTTGGCCATAGGTACAGAGCCAGACTTGATACTCTGCCCCAGGCGAGGCTGAAGAGACCCTAGAGGATGCCAGCGAAGCTGCCAGCTCACTTACCACTCTTGTGCCTGGAGAGTTGCAGGCTGACAGGTGACAAACGACACCTCAGTGACCTTGGCTGTCATTTGTGCAGCCCGTTAGCACCTTGTCAGGCTTCTGAGAGAAAGCGGCTGCCTGTAGAAAACAGGGCTGTATAGCACAACTCTCCTTTCTGGAAGCCAGTTCTGCCCGGTCCTGGTAAAAGAGTGTTCTGACCACAGAGCTTTCAGGTGACTGTGGCCCACCCACGCCCCGTAGGAAGAGACTACCTGGAACTTCACAGAGACAGTTAATGCAGATGGCGGCCACAGCTGCAGTCCCTTCTCTTGTGGGCAGGGGCTGCTTCCTGGGCCCTGTGGGAGACAGTAAAATGAGTCTTCGGGCGTGCACCCAGCCCGCCGTCTGGGAAAACAGATTGTGTTCCGTCCTCAGTGGGGGGGGGGGGGGGAGGCTGGAGCCTCTGCTTCTGGGCTCTCTCACTGTTAGCTCCTGACACCACAGCTGTAAGGTGGGCTTGGCCGGCCGTGGCTAACGGGTCAGGTTGTGTGTGGATCTGGGTTAGAAATCCAAAACCAGTGCTTTTTCATTGGGATCAGCAGCTGTCCCCACATGACCAGTCACGTGGTTTCAAATAGGCATGGAGGCCTGCGCACACGGCTCCCACTGGCTGACATGGAAGTCCATTTGCCCACTGAGCCCACTCCAGCTCTGACGTGTAATTCCGTGTGCTCACTCCTCATGGCTCAGTTTTCTGAATGCTTTTCTCGGTTTTTCTACTGTGGTGTGGTTGGCTCGTGTATAGGGGACCTGACTTAGAAAATGATGTTGAGAAGTTGAGATGTTGAGAAGTTCTGGGCCAGCTGAAGGATCAGGTGACCAGAGCCCGTGCTGATGTTGGGATAACGGCTCAGTATCTCGGTCAGGCAGATGTCATTTTGAGAGCTGCTTCTGACGGGCACTTTCAGAGGCTTCTTACTATGTCTGTCTAGTGAAGATACCCAGACCTCAGAGTGTGGGACCAGAGAGCCTCTACACTTAGGTCTTCATTGTTACTATTTATCTGATATGCCAGCTCCTCATTAAACCTGTTTTCCTCTGCCTGGTAGAGCTTGTAGCTTAGGCTAGACCGCTTTTCCCGACTTTGAGCCTTGAACTTGTGGCGTGTGTCAATCCCAGCCTGAAGTAAGGAGGCCTCTCCTCTGACGGAGAGGTTAGCTCATTAGGAATGGCTCCCGCTGGTGTGGCCCACACAGCTGGCTTTGCCACAGCTGTCCTTTCGTTGGAGCATCCCAATTTAGCATTGAGGTGAATGAGCACCCAAATGGGAAAGGTGTTTTTATCACCCCTGTTCCTCCTCCTTGGCGCTTGAGAGCCCTTGAAGAAAACCCAGGTCTGTATTGAGGGAACACGGACAGAAAGCTAGATGAGGACACCCACCGTACATCACATCAACCCCGGAGCTTATGGTCTCAGCATGTCTTGTCACTGTCCCAACAGAGCTGTCCAGCTCCCCGCCGGGACCTTACCATCAGGAGCCTTACATCTCTAAACCAGAAGAGCGGTTCAAGGCCCCGCCCATCCTCCCCCCACACCTGCTACAGGTCATCCTGAACAAGGACACGGGCATCTCCGTGAGTACTCTGTCCGCATCTCCTTCATGCCTACGTCTGTCCATCTGCTCTCTTTCTGCCTGCTTCGTACAAAGCTGTGGTGAGCTCCTGCGTCTTCCATTGTTGGGAACCGTCGCGGTCCTCTGACACAGAGGACACAGGCTTCTGGTGAAAGGTTGACACCCGTTACATTTAAATTTTATGAGAAAATATCTAACCACCTCTTCTTGGTCAGCTAGATCCTGGAATTCCAGCGGTGGCATTTTAGAGTTGAATTTTAATTACCAAGTTACTTTCGGAAACATCGGTCCTCCTGGGCCAGAATTGAGCTATCATAGCACATTTCCTTGGAGAAACTGTTCAGTGGCCTGCAGAAGGGAAGCGTGGAGCCTGGGCCTTGAGCAGCCAGCTGTTTCTAACAATGCCCTCAAGATGACCGACCCACACTCGGGTGCCTCCACTAGTCTGTGCTCTGCCCTCATGACCTGATTCATCACCAGTTACTGCCCATTTCCCAGCAGCCACTGGGGATTAAGTTCCCCGGACATAAACTTTAGGGGACACAGTCAGACCGTAGCAGGTGCGAAAGTAACCACACCACTTGACCCTCCACGTAGTAGACCCCACATGCTGGTGAGCTCAGCCTGTCTTTGCGGGGGCTTCCCTTGGAGTGTCACTGCTAGGCCACTGCAGTTAAAACACTCCCCTTTCTCAGGCCGAGTCCAAGCACAGAGAGCCACTGGTCATCTGCCTGGGTCCAGTGCTAAGTTGGCAACACCTCACACAGGCATCCTGTGGGGTCTGCAGCGACCCTTAGCCACTGTCCTGAGATTCGGGTGAGGCTGTTCCCCTCTCTCTTCTAGAACACTTCAGAGGCTGGAAGACATTCAGCACTCTGCTCCCGTCTAGGGAGACATGGCTAGGGAGAACCTGCACAGGCCTCCTCTGACTCAGGCGGCCATGGGCTCTAACAGACCTGTTTCCAGTCAGGGAAGTGCCCTCCGTGTGGTCGTATTTAAGCTTCGTGGTAAAGAGGTTGAGGTACAGAGGTAAGTGTGAGTGGCATCCCAAGGACCGTGCCCACTGTCCTGGAGGACATTGTTGATGCTGTGGCCGCCGCCGCCTCTTGCTGTTGCTTCTCATATCCACCAGAGACTCTGTACCTTTGGACCAGTTTCTGCCCCGTAACTACTGTTCTGCCTCTCATATCCTACTTTCTAAAGATTTCGCACATATGGTTCCGTCTTCCTGTGCCTGGCTTATTTAATGTCCACAGAGTTCTTCCACATTGTTGCAAATGACAAAATCTCCTCTCTTCTTAAGGCTGAGTCACACATCGTTGTTGCAGTTTCTTTTCCTGTTGCTGTATGTTTGACAAAAGTAATTTAAGGGAGAAAGGGCATTTTTGGATTCCTAGTTCAGGCTGTGGTTCACCCTAACAGGGAAAGCAGCAGCGGGAGTCTGAGGGAGGCAGTCCCATTGCGCCGTACTTACCCATAATAAACGCATGCCTTCTGCCTCCCTCCTCTGTGTGGCTCGGTGCCCCACCCTGGAAATGCGGTGGCGTTGACAGCTCATGCTAGCCATCACCATGGTGTGTGTCTACATTTGCAAATGCACTTATCCATGGTTTGCGGTTGTGAATAGTGCTCTTCAGCATGCAGAGGTCATTTCCTGTGGATGCATTGCACTTATGTGCGCACACAGTTAGGGTAGTTCTGTGTCTAACTTAAAGGATCATATATAATGTTTTCCGTAGACGATGCTGACTGATGACTCATTAACAGCACAGAGTAGATCTTGGTGTTTTTTAGCCACTCAGAAAATGATGAGTATGTTACTGATCCAGAGTAGGAATTCCACAGAACCTGCATATCCCAGTATGATATGCTCAGAATATTAGTCAGCTTTAAAAGTCGGCAGATGAAAGCCGTAGTTCCTGGGACCCTCCCAGCCGCAGGTGACTGGCAGGTGACTGAAGCAGCATTCGGCTGAGGCTCTTGTCCCCCCTCCACCCCCCATGGTTGCCCGGCAGGGGCTCTCGGGGAGCCTGGGACAGAGCTGTTAGCCTCTGAGATGCTAACCCTGACTAGAGGACAGGTGCAGTGCTGGGAGGCTTGGCTGCCAGGGCAGGGCTAGGACTCGGGGCTGGCTTCCCAGCTCCTCCACCTGCACCCACCCCGTCCCGGAACTTCTCTTCTGCCCCCAGACTCTTACCTGCTGCAGTTCGTTAGGATTCAGCCTGCCCCGCCTGAGTCCACACCACAGCCACACAGGACAGTGCACGTCGCGGTGAAGGCCGTCCAGCTTCACTCGGAAAGACTGGCCATTCCTCCTCAGTCCTTGCCTTCACCCTTTGGGGCTTCACGGGCTGCCCTGAAGGCACTTCAGTACCGGATTCCCCCGAGTGCTGAGTGATGTAAACACACCCTTCCCTTGGGACCTCAGCTTAAAGCCACCAGAGACTAATAAGCCGGAATTTAATTTTTTTTCCCCCCAGTTCATTTTCTTAAAAATTGGGAATGTGCAATGAAAAATCTAGCTATGTGGCCTCTTGTGGTAGGAAGGTGCAGAGTCCGTGTGTTCACGTCCAGAGTTGCCTACTGTTGTCTGCTTCTTAATGATTTTAGCATCTGCTTCTCAGGGCCATTTAGTTCTGTAAAAGCCTTTCAGTGGGTCCTCGGTCTTCTGCCTCTTTGTAAGGATGGGGTGGGGCAAGCCTGGTGCATTCCAGTACATGGTAGATCCAACCTCCTCGGCTCAAGTGCAGTCTCCATAGCCCTTCTAGTGCCCTACTGGGGAAGACGGGTCAAGCTGAGAGCCTGTCTCCTCCTCGGCTGCCTTGCCTGTGCCATGAAACAAGGGAGGAAAATCGTCTTGACGTCCAAATCTTACCTGCTCATGTCTCCCTTTGTTCCCTCACAGTGTGATCCAGCGCTGCTTCCAGAGCCCAACCACGTCATGCTGAACCACCTGTATGCACTCTCCATCAAGGTAATGACTTTAGAGCTGGCTTTAGAGCACTTTCTCAGCATGTTCTGGGGACCCGCCATGCCAGGCTCGGCGTGTGACAGGTTCCGGCTCGGGCTCTGCCGGGGAGCTGTGGTGAATCTCCTGTTCTCTACCCTCTTAGGATGGAGTGATGGTGCTTAGTGCAACCCACCGGTACAAGAAAAAGTATGTCACCACCCTGCTCTACAAGCCCATCTGAGATGCTGAGAGCCAGCCATGGACCACAGGGACAGCAGGCAGCGCTGGGCTCTCCACGTGCATGCAGACCCTCACTTCACTCTCTGGGACATCTCACCCCTCCCTAGGTTCGTCCAGACACAGTTCTAGAAGAGTCTAGAAATGGGAAGGGATGGCTGCCTGCAGTCCCAGAACTGCAGTGCACGAGACCAGTGTGCTCCAGACATCATCCCCTCAGCTGGCCAGAGACGTCTGAAGCCAGACCTGAATGCTAGCACCTTGCTAGTAAAGACTGGGGAGCAGGGGCTGAAGCCTCACAAAAGCCCGCTTGTCTGCATCCAGGGTCGACAGCCTGTCCCTGCTGAAGCCTGGGCGTGGACATAAGCAATATTCAGTCTTGCCTGTCCTTCCAAATCAAAGCAGTAGATTGTAGGATCTATGGGAACTCAGATGTCTGATTTCCAGATGAAGCTTTGCAATCGTTGCCCGACACTGTGTGCACTAAGGACCTTTTTTTAACTAGAGTGGCTGGCTGTCCAGTCCTACCTAAGGCAATAAGTCACCCAGATGAGGCTGTAGATCATGTGACTACACTCAGCAATAATTGTACTCAACACAAACTTCAAAACCCACTGCCGTATTCTCCATTAAATTGAATGATCCTGAGGACTGGCCATCGTAAGGTTGTTCACGCCTCCCTTCAACTGTAACAGTGACAGGGTTACCGTGACAGCTTTTCAGTTCCAGCACGAGCTGTTCAGCTGGGGACCAGTGTCTCTAGTGAGCGAAGGATGTCAGTGGCTGCTATTGCTAGTTCTAAAAGAACTTGAACCCCTATAACGGCCTGATAGAGTCCCACCAGGACAGTGTCCTAGGGATTAGTATGAATGACACTCATCTTGGTTTCCATGGTGATGCCACTGATGTGCCCATTGGTATAGGTTCCTGTCACCTGTCAGCAGAAGTTACCATTATGTCCTTTTTCTTGCTAGAGAGGTGGGAACAAGCTCAGTGATGTCCAGTACTTGGCCAACCTGAGTTTGGGTACCATTTGTTACTGTTTTCAAAACACTGAATTGCTGTCATCTTGATGTGTAAGTTTCAATAAAGATTTGTAAAACTAACCAGAGGAAGTTGAGATTCTATTCATTTTTTTTCCAGAAAAGATTAGAACTTCCAGGTTTGCTCAGTGCTGTCTTGTAGCATTCTAGTGAATGGACAAGACAGTGTAACATCATCAGCTCCTTAGGAGATCCTAGAAACCCGTGCCTGAGGTCCAAGGCCGGAGCATTTTAGAGAACAAGGTTTCTTGAGCATGAGCACAATTTCACATTCACCCAGTTCTGGTGGCTCATCTGCTGTGGTCATGACGTCCACCATTTGAGGACAAAGCCTTCTGCCCCTGTGTAGAGTTCAGAAACAAAAGGTTCATCTTGGAAGCCTACAGCAGCCCTGGCCAGGTGACCACCTTTTAGCACCTCATCTCAGACTCCCCAGAGGTGCAAGAAATACATTTGTTCTTTATAAATGACACCACCTCAGGTGCCATTTACCATAGCAGCACTATACAGAAACATCTGCCCGTCTCCAGGCCTGTGGTGGCACACATTGTTAATCCCAGCACTCGGGAGGCAGAGCCAGGTGGATCTCTTATGAGTTCAAGACAGCCTGGTCTACAAGAGCTAGTTCCAGGACAGGCTCCAAAGCAACACAGAGAAACCCTGACTCAGAAAACCAAAAAAGCAAAGAAAGAGAAAGATCCACCCATGCTAACTAACAGTTGGGTGTGAGAAAGGCCAAGTCTGGGGCAGGCACTGGGTTAACCCTGCTTCCATGGGTCTCCAGCACTGGTACCCAACAGATTAATGGGCAAACAGAAACTTGAGCCTTTGTTAAGAGAAAGCAAGAAGTCAAGAATATGTCTATTCCTTGTAAAGTCCACCCATCATCCCAGTTCATTGTAGGGGTCATCCAATCTTCCTGAGAGCTCCGAGTCCACACCCCGGAGGGAATCCTACGAGCTGAAGCCTGTGGGGCCCGGTTACTAGCCCTGTTACCCCGCCCCCACCCCAAAGGGAAGGCCAGGAGACAGTTCCAGGTGTGTGCACTAGCAGAGCCACTTTCAAAGTCCTTCCCTCCACCTCTAGTGACCCCTTCTGGGCAAACAGCTCTATTATTCATTGACAGACCCTAGGGAAGCGGCCTTGCTGCGCTGTATTGCCACCTACTCAGCCTCAGCCTCAGGGAAACATATGACATTTGATGGCTTCAGACAGAACAAACAGCACTTAAACTACCAACAAAGATCTGACCAGAACTGCCTGTGCCTGGAAAAGCAAGAGCGGTTTCTTAGTCTTGGCGCTACAGGTATGGATCACTCTTTTCTCCTGGGGAGGAAGGCTCTCTGTGACTCACAGGGTATTTATGGCCCTGCCCTGACCTCTCCACCCATTCCATACCACCAGGAACCGTATTTGTGGCAACTAAAACTATCACTAGCCATCACTCTAGCCACATGAACATGAAGGGACACTGTCCTGGCTGAGAGCCACTGAAAGGAGACAATGTAATTTGGGTGGAAGCTCGGCCACCCCACCCCTGCAGGGCCCTCCTCATCTCCATCTCGCTGTGGGTCTTCACCAGGGTTCTAACCCTTTCTGCAGATTATCTGTTCAGTCCTAGTAATCTCTCTCTCTCTCTCTCTCTCTCTCTCTCTCTCTCTCTCTCTCTCTCTCTCTCTCTCTCTCTCTCTCTCTCTCCTCTTTGCTCCAGGAACCAAGTTTCATAAAACTGAATAAACTCAATGCCTTGGGATTGGTGAGAATTAGGTTGTCAAGGGCTGAGCCTCATTTTATAGTGTGACTAAATTCACAGTTGTTTTGTAGAGGTAGTCCCTCATGTCCAAAAAGCAAAAAAAAAAAAAAAAAAAACCCCAAAAACCAAAACACACATACACACACACACACACACACGTACATACGCTCCTTTTGGAACCAAACCCTTGGGCTTCTAACTGAATCGGTTGCCTGATAGTTAATGGGCATTTTTCTAATGTTTGTTCTGTGGGAAAAAGTTGCAACGTCTTACTTCCTCCTTTGTGAGTCATTTTCTCAGAATCTCAAGGAACACAGCCTGTATAGCTCCCATAAAAAACCTGCTAGATTTGACCCTCAAAGGCAACTTTTAGCTACATCTGGTTACCTTGTTATAGTTTAATCAATTCTAATCAAAGGTATCACCTGGCAGGAAAACATTTTTCTACACCAGTCCAGTTGATGGAACACACTAGGAAGTTGGGGAGACACTTTTACCCTGCAGACAGCAAACATCCAGTCAGTCAGAACCCTAAGCAGTCAGTTACCTTCATTTGAACCCAGTCCCAAGAGGAGCACAGGGTTAAATTCCCATTGGCCTCAACACAATGGCATCCTGGCATCTGGCAAATCCTGCGCTGACCTGTTTCCTGGTTAGCTGCCTAACAGCTAATCTGGTCTACACTAATCCTTTTAAAGTAGCCTAGGTGGCTGCTTAAGCTTTCCAGTTCCCTGCCCTAAAAATGACCTTCCCTGGTTCATAGAAGCACTCGCCAAACCAGGGCCCCCACCCCCCAACTCTTAATTCCAGGACCCTGATTCTAGCCACCCAGGTGCAACCCGCAGAAAAGCCTACCTCAGAACGGAAGTGCTGGGCCAGTAAGCCTGCGCTGGCCTTGGCCGTGGGTTTTTATGGTCTCTGACAAGAAAAGGCGCCAAGGGAGCAAATGTTCTGAGATCATTGCTTTATTTCACTATTGTTCAACAACAAAGTTCATTCCTTTCAAGGTGGATCTGGAATTGTCCTTGTATTCTCCTCGTTCTGAATAAAAAAGGTAATGAAGAAAAAGCCTGTACTTTTGGAGACCTAGAATCTTATTGATGCTAATAAGCTTTTGACTGCGATTTTGGGTTACGATTATTTCCTGCTGGCATCTCGGTGGTCACACAGAGAGCTCCCCCACTCTGGCGGAGATGGCTGTCCCCAACTACCACCGTTGAAAACAAACAAACAAAAAAAAAAAGTGTTGAAAAATGCACCTTTTACAATAAAAAAGTAGAAACCAATTCAATTTCCTTTTTTTTTTTGTTACGAATATAAAGTTTCTTGTAAATATGTACAGTCTTTTGAGCTAGTTCTATGTAGCAGGAAGCACACTTCACAGATGAGACACTTGATATACGCTGTCGGGGCTCGAGGTGCCCCCATTTCTCGTGGAGGTCCTAAATGAAATATGCCAAGACTGAAGACCAGTTACCAGTGTGGACCGAGAGACAAAGACTTCAGCAAACAGTCTGTCAGCTCTGCCCTGGGGGAACAGGGGTAGGGAACATGACCCCAAAGATTCCAAGCAACACGTATTAACGCAGCAGCAGGGCACGGAACGTGGAGGGTCACAGGCGTCTCAAAGGACAAAGCACTTAGGTTAGAGACGAGCAGGAAGGAGCCGGCATTTAGGCCAGGTTGTCATCTGGGGAGGGACGTGGGGCTGTGGACGCGGGCTGAAAACACGGACACGTCATCTGCTGCGGCGGGGAAAGCTCTACCTTTCAGCCTACCTAGGATGTGCCTTGGTTGTTGAGGCACCCCTAAGAGTCGTGGAGAATCCAAAGCAGGAGAGGCCTTGTGGGAGATTAAAGGCAGAAGTAAGGCCGCTAGTTAGCTTGCCAACTGCAAAGCCTCTAAGTTGGTTCTATCCGGTTGCCGGGAATTCGGCAGTCTAGATAGAGTGTGGAGGGAGACAGGGCGAGCCACACTGCACCTAAGGGGGTGGGAGGACTCGCCAGCCCCACAGGGCTGGAAGAGTTGAGCTGCGGCTTCTCTCCAATGTCCTGGTCTTAGGTCCAGCCCTGGGGAAAGGCTCATCTGCGATGTCACAGTTTTCGTGGGGTAGAACCGTGCTGGGGTTTCTGTGTGAGTGCACAGACGTCCTTGAAGCCTGCAGGGAACTTGAAGGTGGGAGGGGAAACTCAGGGAGAAGGTGTGGTTTGCTGAAACCCTTCTCTGGTCGTAAGGCTTGAGCGTTGTTTGTTTGTTTGTTTGTTTGTTCGTTCTTTGCTACAGACTGCAGCCTGTTGTGGCCAGTTAGTTGACAAGTCATCAGAGGGTGTCGATTTGGTGGGGTATGTGATGGCAGCAATAACATTGGCAGAGTAACCCAGGGAGGAGTCAGCCAGGTCAGGGGCAGCACATGCAGTGATCGGCCATGCAGGGCTCCCAGACAGGTATCCTCCCCATTCCAGAGGAGTGAGGGGCAACACACCAACCCTCAGAACGGGAGGTGGGTGCCCCGGCCCCAGGCCCAACCCCAAGGCCTATTAATGCTGGGCTTGGAGCAAGTCTATTGCGCGCTTTCCTGGCCAAAGCTACTTGGAAAGCTGGGGAAGCAGGCTGGGTAGATGATGCCGAGGGGTGGGGGGGGGAAGAGCTCCATGAGGTCCCTTGGCCCCAGGTCACTGCCTCAAGCTGAGGCCCGATGGACCTCCATACATTCTCAGCTGGTGGGAAGGGAAATTGTCAAGGCCATAAAAGGCAATGAGAACGGTAAACATTTGGCTACAATGTCACCCTGGGTAAAACAGGGCCGTCTATGAGAATGGACCAGAACAAGAATGAAGCTGCATGAACACGGGAGGTCAGCCAACCAACGGGGGGCTCTTCTATGCTACGGTTCAGGGGCAAAGACCTGATGGTGTGATCTAGCTAAAAACGACTACAACAGGAAATACTTTGCTGTCCAAATCTACTAAGAACTCTGTTGTCTAAAAAAAAAAAAAAAAAATGAGAAAAGAAAAAGAAAAGAAAGAAAGAAACAAAGAAGAGAAAGGAAAAGAGAGAATAAAAGAAAAACCAACCAACCCGAGGATCTTAGACAGCAGGTAGCTCTCCAGCCACACACAGTTCGTGTCAGGGTTGGTTTCCTTTGATGAACTGGTACAGGCTGGAGCTAGCTCAGTACAAAAGTCTCTGAATGACTTAAAGTGTAACAAAGTGCAAAGAGGGGGGCGTGGTGACTGCAGGAAGGCCCCACCCCCGGGGGCGTGGTGACCGAAGGACGGCCCCACCCCCATGGGGGGCGGGGTAACTGCAGGAAGGCCCCACACACTGAGTGCTGGCAGCGCCTAAGAGGCTTGGCTATCTGCACCCCTCGGGGATGGGGGTATCGGTGCCAAGGACAGTCTGGACCCAGCTGTGCCAGATGCCGGCTGAGCAGACGGGCGCTGGGGTCCCCTGCAGCGGAGACCCGGGGTGCTGTGTTTTCCTGCAGACTGAGATGAGGAGGTGGTTTTTCCTGTTGAGACCTATACTGAAGACTGGTCCCAGACCTAGGAGCAAAATAAAGAGGAGGTTTGTCATCCAAGGCCAGGAACTGCTGGCCCCTGTGTGAGGCGAGTATTTTTGTATGGTGCCCATCCTGTCCCTCCAGTGGCTGGCAGTGGTACTATATAGAATAGTGCCAACCTAACAGAGCCAGCCCTCAAGTCACAAAACAAAAACAAAACCCAAACTGAATTTGCACAGTTTCATATACACATATGCACACTCGGTTTTAATGGGAAAACATTTACGAGGCTTTTCTTCTTCTTCTACCGAAAAGTCCTGACCGTGTGCTGTAGTAGCATCGGCAGGAGAGTGCCACTCAGAAAATCATCCCCAGGGGACAGGGAGGTGGTATCTCTGGCTAGAGTGGGCAAAAGAAACTAGACAGCCCACCTAGCAGGATGGAGCACCAGGAGCCATGTGTGTACTCAAGAGAGTTAGCTGCTTCGACATCTCCATCTGCAGATTCAGACACTGCCCTGAAATCCACAGGCATCTCCATCTGCAGATTCAGACACACCCTGAAATTCACAGGCATCTCCATCTACTGATTCAGACACACCCTGAAATTCACAGGCATCTCCATCTACTGATTCAGACACACCCTGAAATTCACAGGCATCTCCATCTACTGATTCAGACACACCCTGAAATTCACAGGCATCTCCATCTACTGATTCAGACACACCCTGAAATTCACAGAGGTACCACAAATACCAAAACCACTCCAAACTGACGCTCAAAGTTCTAGAAGGCAGAAGCACAATTCCAAGTTTCTGGGTAACTTCCAGGAAAGTAGCAGTGTCTACAATACATAAATGTGTTTGCCTGTGTATCTGTAAACATCTATAATGTTATCGTTTGTTTCTATGCAGGGTGGGGGGGGTGTGGTACAAACATGTTTGCTTGCATCACAGAGCAGACCTAGAATCCACTAACACTGCCTCTAGGGCAGGGGATGACACACCGTTTGGTAGCTGTTACATTGTGAGGTACGCACATAGTCTTCCCTTAAATCACACGTGTGGAGGAAGCCTCTTAAACAAAGTATGTTTTCTTCTTAAACTTTTACTTCCTACAGGCCTGAACCACAGTGATGGTGTCCCGCTTTTACAATAGCAGCTGGGACAGCCTTACCTTGTTAACCTGGGACAGTGGGGTCCTCACGGCTCCCGCAGGCAGCCGGCCCCTGCTGCTGTCTTCAAACAGTCTCCCTGGGGACCGCTCTCTCCTTGTGCTGAGCATCCGGCCTGGGGACTTCTCCCGCTCCAGGGGACGACCTGGGGACTTGTCCCTGCGCAGCTCTGCCCGGCCCTCTCGGTCTCGGTCTCGGTAGCGGTGGGGTGTGCTTGGCTCTCGGGGGTGGCTGGGGCCTTCGGGTGGCGCTGGGCTGGAGGCCACACGTTTGGTGATGTGCTCGTTGTATGTTGGTGGGCCTCGCTTGTTGGGGCTGCTGGGGGCAATGAGAGAGTGGGGGGGGGCTGAGAAGTCACAGGCCCAAAGCTGCAATTCCCTTCCCCCATAAATATCTAAGCAGGTCCCTCCTCACCACTGTCCGCTCTATTTGGTTTAGTTTTTGAGACAGGGTCTCACTATGCTTCAACTATGCCTAGAACTCACTAGGAAGCCCAGGCTGGCTTCAAAGTCATGATCCCCTGGCCTCAGGTCCGGAGGCTTAACTGTTAAAGGCTTAACTGTTGGGGAACATTATTTTAAGGTGTATTACTTTTGTTTATGCTGCACTTGGTTAAGTCTGTGAAGCTGTGATTCTTTGCCTGTTTTAAACACCTGATGGTCTAATAAAGAGCTGAACAACCAATAGTGAGCCAGGAGAAAGGATAGGCAGAAAGAGAGGATAAGTAGGAGGAGGAATCTGGGAAGAAGTAGCCAGCGGAGGAGGAGTATTCCAGGGCTAGTCATCCAGCAGGCCATGGGGTAAGAAACAAAAGACAGGCATACAGAATTAGAAAAGGAAAAGTCCAGAGGTAGACAGGATAACTTAAAAGCTGTCAAGAAACGAGCCAAGCTAAGGCTGGGCATTCATAACTAAGAATAAGCCTCCATGTGTGACTTATTTGGGAGCTGGGTGGCGGGTCCTCCCAAAAGAGTCAGTGTAAAAAAACCAACATTATGACATACGACCATGGGCCCAACTTTCCATGTAGGGCCTAAGAAGGCTGGATTAAAAAAAGAAAACAGGACACAGCTCCTTTAAGAGGTTCAGCTGGGAGCACTAAATAGAAACTAGAAAAAAAGACAAGCTAAGTAAAAACCACTTGTGGCAACCAACGCAGGTCCTGGCTCCCATAGCTAGGAAGGGTTAATGCAGTTCTTGGTCAGGAACCTCTGACTGGCTATGAGCTCTAGGCTTGGCTTTTCTCACCGAACAGGGAGCACAGCCAGCCAGCAGAGCTGCATGAAGAGGACCCAGATGCAGCAGCTTAACACTCTGCTCATTCGGTCAAGAGATAAGCCGCAACAACCTCTAAACAGGTCCTAATATGCTTTACAGTGCGCACTTGAAGGCTTAAGAAAGAAAGAAAATGGGTACAGGCAGTTATAGGAAGTTTTTAAAAATAAAATATAGAGGCAGTAAAAGTAATGTGAAAGGAAAAAGTCATGTAAAGAAGGAAATGCACAGGCAGTCTGGATCCTGTATGTTACTGTGTTGACTCTGAATTCTTGATTGCTGAAAAGCAAAGACAGCTCCTAAGAGACATGGGCTTGACAGAGGGAACTGAGGAAATAAACCAGCCTTGATATCTTAAGAATGCCTTAACTGTAAAACAGAAGTCAAAAAAGCATGTTCGTAAAATGGAATTTAAAAGATGCATTGCTTTGGAGAGGTGGACTTGCTTTTCCTTTTGTTTCCATGGGAAACAAGAGGCTGTAGATTCTTTCCGGGTTGCTATGGATCTGGTCTGACCAAGAGGGATCACCTGACACTTGACAGGTGATACCCATCAACAAAGATTACTGCTGGTCTTCCCAGGACTGGGTCATTATCTCAACCCTAAAAATGCCTTCACCCACATTCAACAGGAAGCAGTCTAGAGAACACAACGTCCACATTCCCAAGAGCTGGGTTGTGGGAGGCTTTTGGTTATTTGGTAGGTCATGGATGTTTGTTATATTTATATAGAAATATATATAGGAATAAGATTTAAAAAAAAAAAAAAGGGTAGATTACTGTATCTACTTTAAACTGAAAAACAACTATTGATTTCAAATATTTTGTATTGGTATGGACTTTTGTATACTGATAAAAATTTAAGGTCATTTTTGTTACACTGTACGTATGTTTCTACTCATATTTAAAGGACTTTTGTATATTGATACTAATTTAAGGTTATTTTTTGTTACATGTTGAATGTATGTTTCTATTCTTATTTAAGGTATTATGCCAGTTCATTTTAAAATGTAAGCTAAAATTCTAGTTTTGAAAGCTATTATTATGAAATATTTAGGATAATCAAGAAATACAGATCAATAGTCATAACAATCAAATTTGTAGATATGCTAGGTATGTTTTCTAGATCACATAGAGACGTATTTTAGGTAGATGGTCTTCAAACTTTTCAATGACCTACAGAATATGGCATTTAAAATGTTTGTTAATTTAGGACTTTTCATGACAATGAGACACATCGTTGCTGACAGGCCAGAATCAGAGCTGATGGGCACTGAAAAAACCTCCTTATGGAGTTTGCTGCTTTCAAGGCCATTTGGAAAAGAGCCTGCTCTTGCCTAGACTGTTAGACAGTATGCTGTATAAACTGGACATGCAGGACCCACAGTTAAGTGATGAACTTTGCCAAAGCAAGACCAGAATGGTCCTTCATGGTTCCTGCTTCACAGAAGAAACTGCCAGACATTCTGCAGGACACAGAGGAGAGTGACTGACAAAATGCCAATATAGGCGCGACAGTCTTTCAAATTTCCTGCTTCACTGAAAAGTCTGCCAGATACTACGGGCCTGTAGGCTGGCAATCGATGCCCCAACGTTGCAAAGGAACTTTGGGTGACTGTCCAGGCAGTCAGGTGTCTGTCATTGCTAGAGTTTTTGGAAGTTGTCTGCAATGCACGTTTTGTTAAATATTATATCCTCCCGGTGCTTTTGATGGAGTTGAAGACGATGAAGATAGTTATAGTTGCAGCTTTTCTTGGATATGATAGAAAGTAAGTTAGGTATAACATTTTGGATTTACTATAGATTGGGGAGTATTTTCTGTAAAGTTACCAGACACAAATAAATTGGAATTCAGTACATTGTGAATGTAATCTTTATTTGATAATTCTCCTTCTCTCTCTCTCTCTCTCTTTTCTTTTTTCTTTTTTTTTTTTTTTTTTTTTTTTTTTTTTTTTTTTTTTTTTTTTTTCCCTTTTTTCTCTTTTCTTTTTCTTTTGGAGACAGGGTTTCTCTGTGGCTTTGGAGCCTGTCCTGAAACTAGCTATTCTAAACCAAGCTGACCTCAAACTCAAAGAGATCTGCCTGCCTCTGCCTCCCGAGTGCTGGGATTAAAGGCGTGCACCACCATCCCCCGGCAGATGTATTAGTTTTGTTTATGCTGCACTTGGTTAACTCTGTGAAGCTGTGGTTCTTTGCCTGTCTAAAACACCTGATGGTCTAATAAAGAGCTAAACAGCCAATAGCAAGGCAGGAGAAAGGACAGGCGGGGCTGGCAGGCAGAGAGAGTAAATAGGAGAACTCTGGAAAAAGGGGAAAAAGTAGAGAAGGAGGAAGGCTCCAGAGACAGCCACCCAGCTACCCAACAAGCCACAGAGTAAGAAACAAAGACAGGCATACAGAAGTAGAAAAGGAAAAACCCAGAGGCAAAAGGTAGACAGGATAATTTAAGGAAAGCTGTCAAGAAACGAGCCAAGCTAAAGGCTGGGCATTCATAACTAAGAATAAGCCTCCATATATGATTTATTTGGATGCTGGGTGTCGCCCCCCACTCCCACCCCAAAGAGCCAAATAATAAAAAACCAACAACATTCACTCTTACTAGAAAAAGCCTAGACACGAGGACATGGACAAAAGAAACCCGAGTTTCCAGGTCCCGGTGCCAGCTCCCAGGTCTGTGTACCAGCCCGCTCCTGCCTTGGCCAAGCCCTCTGCTCTTTGCATCACTGTCTCCAAGTAACACCAAATGGGAGTTCGGAGAAGGAACCCTCGCTGCACAAGGAAGAGCATGGCGGCGGAGAGGCTAGAAGGGTGGGGTAGGGACCGGAGAGAGGTCAGTCTGGTGTCATGATCTCCACACCCTAACATACGAACCCTGCCAGAGGCCAGTGCGGAGGCTTGTAGAGCTCCGCAGCAGATGGCTTGCTAGACATGCACAAGGCCTTGGCTTCAATGGTTAGCACCACTGAGAAAAGCAAGGAGAGAGGCCTTGTGTTCTCAGTGCGCTGGGGGGGGGGGGGGAGGTCAGACGTTGTTAGTGGTTAACCTCGGGGCCAAGCTGAGCTAGCCAGATCTCCTCCCCACCTCCACCTGCTTGGTTTCCTGATTTTTATCAGGTGTGTCACCCTGTGCCTATGTGTCATCTTATTGCCATGACTGGGAATCCACGTCAACCTTCTGAGCGTCTGCATCAGGTACCACAAAAACCTTGGAAAAAAACACCTGCAGGGAGAGGGAAAGGTGACCGAGCGCTGGGCACAAGCCAGCCCGCGGAGGTCGTCTGTGGTCAGCTGCTCAGGAACAGCTTCATGGCTGGCTCCCCACGCATGCTAGCTGGCGACTCAGATGAACAAGCTGAAATCCAGCCCGGCTCCACCTCCCTCCGGTATTAAATGTGAGAAACCTGACTTCTATTCCCTGAAACCAAAGCCTGTACACAGCTCAGGCTGCAGAGCCTGGAGAGACAGAGCGTGCATTAGAACAGATGAAAAAGCTAAGGACTCGAAATACATTAAGCCTATTTGCAACGAAAGAGAAATTCTGGAGTGTGTCCACAGGGGCCCATCATACGGCTAGCAGGAGGGTGCTCAGCGTCCAGGGAACCAGAGTGGCTCAAAGAAGGCCATTCGGGGTGTCAGCTGGGATATATGAGAGCAGGCATTCATCATTTGAAACCCAGTGGGCAGGCTTCCATCTCCATATCCATAACGGCCAGTGAGCTACCCTGTCCATTTCACGGTTTCTGCGGAGTTATGCTCCCTGCTCTGCTAAACACACCAGGAAAATGGGCCTGCCGTGAACGACAGCCAGCCAGGCCAATCACGGGCACTGACCCACCCAAAGCAGCCAGGAGCAGAAAGACCATTCTGTAAGCAGAGAGGTAGTTGAGAACTGGCTGCTGGTATAGTAGGACTTGGCCTGGCATCCCCAGGGAAGCCAGCACATTATTTCTGGCCCATTTCGAGCGACTGGGGCCCTTTCAGACAACAGGACAAGCAGGTCCTTACAGCGGGACCACGCGGGGTCAGGAGCCACGTGCAAGGCCACGGAGAAGCCCGGTCCCAACACTTGGACCCCTTTCTGGCCTGACGTGGAAGTGACACCGAGATTCTTAGGCACATTAGGGGTGCACGCTGGCCTTGCAGCATGCAATTAAAGTCACACCCACGAAAAGGTAAGGCCATCGCCAAGACATGCTAAGGCTCAAGAGTGTGCACAGTCCAGACCTTCCACGACAGTGGGGCCAGGACCACACACTCAGAAACACTGGCTCCTACCCATCAGTAAGAGACAGCTTGTCCTCGCACAGCACCAGCATGCTATAGATGCGTCTGTCTTTTACCGTAAGCATCTTGGGACACTTGGTCTTCACCCACCTAATTACAGGCCCTAGGGGGATAAAGAAAGTGCACTCAGCATTGCTGTCTGGAGCCCCAGATGTGATGCCCGGCTGATGGGAGACGTCATTCTGTAAATGTGTCTCATGCTGGTTAATGAATAAAGCACTGCTGGCCAATAGGAAAGGAAGATAGGAGGGACTAGGAGACAAGGAGGGAAGAGGAAGTAGGAAGGAGGAGTCAAGATGGAGAGACAGGGAAGAGCACAATGCCAGCCCATTCCCTGGTAAGATGAAAGCACGTGGAAATATCAGATTAACAGAAATGGGTTAATACTTAAGACAGAGCTAGCCGATAAGAAACTAGTACCTGGCCAACAGCTTTATATCTGATACAGAGTCTTGGTGTGTTATTTGGGGCTAGCGCGGTGGCGGGACAAGACCAGCGGCGGGCGGAAAAACCTTACTCATTACACCCGGCACCTGGTAGAGGATCCTCACAGCTGTGCACAGGCTAAAAGTGTGCAGAGAAGCAAAATCGTAGGTCAGTGAAATAGTCCCGCAGGCTAAACCTCAGAGCTTCCGTGGACCAACGCCTCCAGCTTTTAACACGTGGATGTGGCTCTGGTTCCTAGTCTTGTGGGCCGGGATGAGGCAAGCAATGTCTACACCCAGCTGATGGAGCTACGAGCAGGTGCAGCCCCCAGGGAGGCAAACCCAACAACACCTACGGGAATTCTGTTTGATGCCGCACACACCACTGATTTTCTGGTACTGTGGCCTACAGACTCCTTGATTTGCCAAGGGGTGGAAGCTCCAGCAACAGACTGGGAGCCATCCAGGAGAAGCTGATGCTTATGAGGGGCATTCCAATAAACGGAGCAGCAACAGCCAAGCATGAGAGGGGAAGGGAGCCATCTCCAAGGAGACGTCACAGTACAGGCAAGCACCTGCCCCTTCTGTGAGACGGAAGGGGGCAGGAAGCTGCCATGAGGAGTGGAGAGACCTCTCGCTGAGGACCTGCTTCTCCATGAGGGCAAAGAACAGCCACACAAAGACTGGCCAAACCAACCTCACATGGCTGAGAACCAACCATGGTGTTTGGAGACCTAAGATAGCCTCAAATAAAAGGAGCACCGTGTCACCTGTCATTTCAGGGTTCCCATAAAAGTCCTGGATTGACTAACACCATACTGACCAAGCCTGGGGACCAGGGGTGGCTCGCTGGCAGAACTTTTGGCTGACATGCCAGGCTCAGGATTCAATTCCTGGCCAAAAAAAAAAAAAAAAAAAAAAGGAAACCACCACACACATGCACACACACACACACGCACACTCATGCATGCTGACAAAGCATATTGCGAAACCAGCTTGCAGCAATCCAACAGTATTTTTTGCAAGAAAACCAAACTCAGTATGGCTCAATGACCACTTAGTTCGCCCTGTGCCCATGCCTCTCTCCAGATCTATGGTAGAGTTGAAGCCAGAGGACTTGTAGACAGTCACTGTGAAAAATCTGCATTCTGGCAATGTCTAGAAGGCACAGATTGGGCTGAAGTGACCCCAAAGCCCCTTTCCAGAAAAGGATCCATATCTGACCTGCAAAGGGCCCACTGGCACTAGGGACTCTGTTGGACTGGACCTGGGGATCGCTGGACAAGAAAGGGCCCTACCCACAGTTGAACAGTAAACGTGGAAGGTTCTGGAGGCAGTCATTGAAGTGGTGTTGAGGTGAAAAAATGTAGTCAGCTTAGCCCCTGGTAGAGGTTGGGTGCACCATAAAAATGGTAGACTTTAAAGGGCCAGCTCCAGAAGTTCTCACGGTGTGCAGTTACCTCAGTGGAGAACTCGGTGAGACTTAGACCATTTGGAGGCTCAGGTGTGGAAATGTACTTCCCACTGTGAGAGAGCAAAGAATTGATATGCATTTGCTGACAAAGATCAAAAGAGGGCATCAGATCCTCTGGAGCTGGAGTTATAGAAGTTGTGAGCCCCCCACACGCGTGCACAAATCTCCCTGATACACACACACAGACACACGTACACTCACGCACGCGCATGCACACACAGGTGCTGGGAACCAAATGTGAGCTCCCTGCAAACTGCTAAAGCAACACAGGCTCTTGACCCTGAGCCGCCAGTCCTCGCTGTGAGACGTGAAGGGGCCAGGATTGGATCCAAACACGGCACCTGGAGGTGGAGGCAGAGTCTTTCAAAGCAAGCAGGGTTTGATAGAGAAGCCGGAAGTTACATACGCGTGTCACATACATGTTGCTTCCCATTTCTTACCATGTGATGCCCTGCACTACCTCAAGACACTGACAATCAGGCCACTGCTTGATGTGGGCCCTCGGCGTCGGAAGCCAACTCTGAGCCCGGCTTTATAACTCCCAGCACCAGCCATACCTACCACTGTGCCAGAAAACAAACATGGTGTCATGCTTACGGAGTGGCACATATGGACTAGTGCACACATGCGTGTGGGAAGATCTCTAAATGGAAACCGAAAGTTCCAGCGTTGGTTCCTTCCTGAGGTGGAGTGGAGGGTGAGGGCGGGGATGGGGGGGGGGGAAAGGGAAACCAGGCCCAGCCCCTCGAGGGATGAGCAAGAGAACTGTTTGAGTTAGGAGTTCAGGGCAGCGTGGCAACCCCACGAGACCATTCGTTATCTCTTTAAATTAAGGGGAAGGGGCCCGGAGTGATGGCTCAGGGGTTAACAGCACAGGCTGCTCTTCCAGAGGACCTGGGTTCAGTTCCCAACACCCATATAGCGGCTCACAACGCCAGGGAATGCAGCACCCTCTTCTGGCCTCCTCGGGCACCAGGCATAAACATACTTGCAGGCAAAATACTCATATACGTAACATAAAAATTGAGAAAAAAAAAAATCAAGCTAGGTGTAGTAACAGTTGGGAGGCAAAAGAGGATGCGTCTCTATGAGTTTGAGGCCAGCCTGGTCGAATACTGAGTTCCAGACCAGCCAAGGTCACACTTGCTTCTAAAAATAAAAATACATAAATCTTTATTTCTTTTTCTCAAACACAGGAAAAGAAAAGAAACCCACAAGACTGTACTACTTTATACTTTTTGTGCCCTTTGGGCTCTATGCCCTGGGTTAGATTACCAGTGCAAAAATAAATACAAGCTCTCAGGTTCCAAAGGAGCCTCTGGGAGGCCTAGGAAGCCACGGCCCATGGCCATGCCTCACACTTCCGGAACTCTCTTGTATGTCCTGCATCCCTACCCTCCTGATGCCATTCCCTTTCTGTTTCTTAGGGGAAGTCCCAGGTCCAGAGTCTAGGCTTGCAGGCCCAGCAGGACTAGAACTAGGGTTCCGGTTGCCCCTCTCTCGAGCAGGGCTTGAGCAGCTCGAAGGAGAGCACACATCTCCCTGGGGCTCAGCAGCTGATGCACACAAAGCGCCACGGTGTACGTTGTGAACCGCTCTCATCGGAGCCACTGAGGACGCCCTCAGGACCATGTCAGACGCTCCCTGCTACCGCTCCCTGCCACCGGGACCAGGGAGTCTCTCACAATACCTGTGACACTCATGAGAGAGTGCCACACACAAAAGCGCGGTTTGCCTTGAGCACCGAGTGAAGGCGCCCTCCCTGCTCCCTGCTTGGCCCCGGGAGGGAGGGAAGCTCAGTACCTGCGGGAGGTGGAGGGCACCCGGTGCTGGTCAGTGCCAGACTCCTTCACAAGGTTTCCTTTGCAGCATATGACCCGTAACTTGTCCTGATACGAGGAAGCCAAGTAAATCGCTCCCGAGGAAATTGCGGGGCCCAGGTAGCGAGGGTTCGGGATTTCCAGATATGCTCGGGCAGGGGTCCTGCAGGGTTCCGGGAGAGAGATGACATGCATTAATGGTTACTGCCGTTGCTGCATGGCATCCCTGCCCCTAAGCCTGTCCTCAAAGCATGGAGGTAAACGCTTACCCTAGCGAGGAGCGTGCCTGGATCTCAATTACTTCCAGTGAGTTGAAGTGAGTCACAAACAGATAGGGCTCTCTGTAGGCTGCAGGACCCCCAAGGATGATGAGCATGAAAAAAGGTTGGGGGAGGGAGAACAGAAGAAGGAAAATCAAGGCTTGCAAAAAGACCGGTGACCCAGAAACCAGAACCTTATACACGGTGTAATCACGCGTACGTGCCTGTGTGCGTGCGTGGGCTCATTCACTGCCATGCTGTTGTTACTGCATCAGGAATGACTTACATCAGAGGAATTAGTTAAAAAAAATTACAGCATTACTGTGGAACTCTGCCCAGGGTAAGAGATGCACCATGAAGCTCTGCACCTACCCACAGTGCACTGCTTAACCAGCAGGGCAAGTTCAGAAGGATGCGAGGAGCCTGCTTCCCTCACAATGGGGGGAGTCTAGTATAATGCTTGCATTCACACAGAACACTGGGAAGATGATAAACTTATCTGAGTTCTTCCCTCTGAGGCGACAAGATGGGACAGTATGAGATGGACACAGAGGTGAAGCTTCTGTGGATCTGTTATCACCGTTTAAAGATTTTCCCCCTGTATACAAATGTTTTGCCTATATGAATGTCTGCACGTGTGTGTCTGATGTCCTCTGGGGCCAGTAGAGGGTGTTAGATCCCCTGGAACTGTAATTACAGATGACTGTGAACCACCGTGTGGGTGCTGGGACTCGAACCAGGGTCCTCTGGAAGAGCAGCCAGTGCTCTTAACTGCTGAGCCTCCTCTCCAGCCTAGTTATTTAAGACATTGCTGTGTGTTTCTGTTATTTTTGTTATTTGTTTCATTTTGTGGTCTCCTAATGTAGTCCAGGATGGCCTTGAACTCCAGGCCCTCCTGCGTGTGCAGCCTTACCCCCTCATCTCTGTACAATGGCATCTCTGGAACTAAAGGGGACAGAACAGACCCTGTTCTCCTGGAGGGAAAGCTGGCCCTCACTGCTGCTCCTGTGGCAAGCCATGCTGGCCTGCTCAAGCCAGCAGAACTTAGTGCGTGTGAAAGGCTAGGGAGCCTCTGTTTATACTCTTGGAAGAGGCCACACACAGGAGAGCAATGGCCTGAATGTAGCTGAGTGAGTCACCCCAACAACACCCCCACCCCGGGCAAAAAGAAAGAAAAGCAGCCTCGTTTCTTCTTTCTGAGGATGTGTTTGTACTTTTCTTCCTGTCCCAAATCCCCACTGCTACCATGAGGGGCAGAGCTGAGCAGACGCAGAGGCATGGGCAACATGCATGTTGCTAGAAGCCACTGAGGCTCAAAACTAGTTATTAGGCAGTAAAGGGTGAACAAGAAAGCATTTTCTTTTACATTCATTTGTTCACTGTGTGTGTGTGTGTGTGTGTCTGTGAGTGTCTATCTGTGTGTATGTCTGTGTGTGTGGTGTGTGTGTCCGTCTGTGTGTGTCTGTCTGTGTATGTCTGTATGTCTGTGTGTGTCTGTCTGTGTATGTCTGTATGTCTGTGTGTGTCTGTGTGTGTGTGTGTGGTGTCTGTGTGTCTGTATGTGTGTCTGTGCTGTGTCTGTCTGTGTGTGTGTGCTGTGTCTGTGTGTGTGTGTTGTGTCTGCGTGTGTGTGTCCTTTGGGCCATAAAGGGGCTGTAGAACAAACATCCCCACAGTTTTGACTTGGGACCCAAAGGGTACAATCTGACAAGTTTCAGAGTCAGTCCAGGATGCTCACCACTGTGTTCATTCAAGAATGGGTGAATAGGTGTGACTTCATTGTTCTGCCGTCAGGGCTACCTAACGTGTGCTCCACTATGGGACACCACACAGTCTTCAAAACGGCTTCTCATCCTCAGGGAAATTCACAGGCCGGACTCCGGCCTGGTAGAGCTGACTTACACATTCTCCACAGACATGAAGTTAGGTGAATGTCGCCCATACTACTGAATGAAGTCCATTAGAACACACCAGTACTAGTCCGAAGTCAAGAATTCCACACAGTTCTTTCCCATGACACAAGCTTCAGCAAACAGGAGCAGCTGCATCCACTCCCCCCCATCCCCCACCCCTATCTCAACCCAATACCTCACGTACCAAAGGCCAGAGGTAAGCGACTCCATTTGAGGTCGTCTGTGCGGCTGCGTCTTCCATAGGAATCCACGAACACCCCGAATTCTGTAAGGTGTCAAAAGCGTGGAGACATTAGCTCCAGAGGCCACCTACGCTCTGCTGGAAGAACATGGAACAAACCCCAGGGACGACTGGCCAGGTTTAACTACACTGTCACGGCCAGAAGGTCTCCGCAGAGCCATCGCTTAGTTTAAATTAAAAGGAAGATTTTCTTAAGTTTTCTCATTAATGGAATTTATTCTAGCAAGAGGATTCAAGCAAAGGGGAAGAAAGGAAATGGGAAAGAGAAGGGGGAGACAGACAGGCAGACAGACAGACAGGAAGGAGACCGGAAGAGGGAGACGGTCAGAGTCAGGAAGGGGGGGAAAGAAACACCCAGTGGTTAAAAAAGAAAGAAATTAAAAAAAAAAAAAAAAAAAGAAAGAAAATATCAAGAGAAAAAGCAGCAAAAGGCAAACCGGAGAGAGAAGGAGATGACAGGAAGACGGAGCCAGGGGCATCCACGATGCTGGGTAAACACTCTGCCCCTTGGGCAGGACCCACCCTGCTGACCGAGGGGCCCAGGCTGGGGACTGACCGTGGAAGCACAGCAGGTACTCCTCCCGCTGCCCGGCGCCATTCGCCTGCACGATGGAGACTGGGAAGCTGTTGGATGAGGATGCGAACACTGCAGGGGCCAAAGAGTGGTCGTTCTTGTCCAGGAACTCTGTGAAGGCAGGTGGGAAGGGGCTTCAGGAACCGTGCCCGGGCCTCCCTCCTCCCTCCAGGCCCGGGCCCTGTGGGGTGGGCAGGGAGATGGCGGCCTACCCTCCAGCGTGCACTGCTTCATGTCGATCTCATAGAATTTGTTGGTTCCGATGAGGATGCTGTAGTTGGTGAAGTGGATACAGCTGCAGGGTTCGGAGGTCTCTATCTCCTGAGGTGAGGGGACACAGAGGGATAGAGATGGCACAGGACACCTCGTCTCTGCTGCCCGAGCCTCTTCCCTCTCCTCTATGCCTGTGGTCACGGTGACACCAGCCATGTTTGCTACCTCATAACCATCGCTCTACCCCAGCCCAGGTAGCCTCAGAAATCCAGGCTGGACCGCAACTCCCAAATGGGCGAGAGCTACCATTTCCACAGACAGGCAGAACACTGGCCATACGGTCTTGCAGGACCATCACACCGGAATGCCAGCCACACCAACTGTGTGTGCCTGGCCGGGGTGCCTGCCTCAGGGTCTCCCTTTGGGCTAGCTTGTGATTTGCTGGCTTCTAATGTGGGTGTGTATAAGCCACACAGCATTTCTGCATCCCCGTCCTAATTGACTCCTTATTATTTGTCGTCATTCCCAGGCCAACCCTAATATCATTAAGACAGAACAAATACGTAACCGGCATGCTTTCTTAAAGCGATGGCCAGGAATGGCTTTTGCCTGAAACCAACACTTCAGATGTTAACCACCACCGTCACAGAAAATCTATCCATCGGTCCCCTACCAAGGCTGAGGAGACAGAGCAGCAGGATGCCACCGTGAGAAAGGGGGGGGGGGCAAAGGACGTTTTAACTGCAGAGTGTAAAGTCTCACCGTCTCACTGGCCAATCAGAAAACACTGGGGTAGCCAGCCCCATCCCCTGCTACACGGGTGCTCAACGAACACTGGCTAGCAAGCCTACGATGAGGCCAGTCCACTAACAACCACTGCTTATGTAACCCACGTCCTTTTACACTCTGGGTATTATCGTAACATGACCAGGCATGAGCCAGGCTTTTCGTTACACCACAGACTCAGTCTGGGGACAGGAGTGGTCCTTCCCCACACAGCAGTTACCCCTACACGCCCCGCCCTGCAGGGCTCAGACCCCTGATCACAAGTCAATACAGAGCTGCCTTGTCCCTCGCGGCAGAACCCTCTAGGCCCTGAGGAAGACAAGCTGATGTTGCTGGGGACTGCTATCTTCTAAGACAAAGCTGCTTCTGTCAGCTTAACAAAGGGCATCTCTGCCATTTCCCTCCAGATCCCAAACAGCAGAAGGAAATGGACAGGACCACTGTGGCTACCACAGGCTCCGGACTCCTCCAGAAGGACAGGCCTCCCGCTCTAGGCGGCAGAAAGGAAAAGACGCAGGCCCTCCTCAACACAGCGCACTGTGTGCACGGACGGACGGGGGTGGGGGGTGGGGGGGTGGGTAGGGGGGAACACACGACTGGGCGGTAAGCTTGCCTTCCGGATGCAGTACTTGCTGAGGTTGTCATTGTAGCGGAGGATGACAACTTTGCTCGGCATGGCGGCACAGATGCAGAGGCTGTTCTCGATCTACAAGGCCATGGGGTCGGGGATGGGGGGAAGAATTTGTCATCAGCATGAACTACAGTTATGCACAAAGCTAGACAAGGGGCGTGGTTAGTACATGGTCTGGCTGGTCTCAGCACTGGTGACATTTCGGGCCAGATTGTTCTGTGACGGAGGTAGGGGATGACCTGCACACTGGAGTAATGGGAGCGCCATGGACTTGGCCACCAGATGTCCACAGCACCCTCTCGTTGTGACAATCAAAACTGTCTACAGACATCACCAAATGTCCCCTGGGGACTGAATCCCCCCTGCCTGAGACTCACTGCCTTAGTTGGGATCCAGAGGCCTAGGGGCCAAGTGACACCTCACCATTGGTTTATTTGTGCCTTTGGGTGGAGGCAGGCTTTTCTGATGTTACCCTGAATGGGGGAGGACAAAGTGACGTGACAAAGATGGTGTGTGCGTGTGTCTGTGTGTGTGTGTGTATGGTGTCTGTGTGTGTGTATGTGTGTGTGGTGTGTGTGTCTGTGTGTGTGCGTGTCTGTGTGTATGGTGTATGTGTGTGTGGTGTGTGTGTCTGTGTGTGTGTATGGTGTATGTGTGTGTGGTGTGTGTCTGTGTGTATGGTGTATGTGTGTGGTGTGTGTGTCTGTGTCTGTGTGGTGTGCGTGTGTCGGTGTGTGTGTGTGGTGTGTGTGTGTCTGTGCGTGTGTGTGTGTGTGTGTGTGTGTGTGTGTGTGTGTGTGTGTGTGTGTAGCAGGGAGCTTTGTAGGGTGGTTTATCTGCACTGTTAACGTCATCATTTGGAAGAACTGAGGACATACACCTTGGGCATGGTCACGAGCCTTGTCCCAGGCAGATTGTCAGAGGCAAAGCTTCTTTTCTGTCCCTGTCACAAATGCTCTGACATAACAACACAGGGGAGACAGTATACCCTGGTGCAGCCCCTGGCTGAGCAGAAAGAAAGGCAGCAGGAACTCCTGGCTGCCAGGCCTCCGCAGCCAGGCCGGGAGGGAGTGGCTGCCATGGGAACCCTCCCTTCTTTGAGTGCCTTCAGTGTGCTCTGTGGATATGCAGTTCTACAGCAAGACTTTTTTGTTTTGTCTTTAACCAAGAGTGAAAAGAGGACCCCTGCACAGATGGCCACAAACTGAAGGTCAGCAGTTGAAGGGACGGAGAGGAAAATGCAAATCATTTGTTTCCGGGGTCGGGGAGGCTGTGTATCTAAAACATTATGAGGCTTTATAATTTATGTGCACATTTCATATAGTTTTTAGTATTTAAAATACTAAAATAAAATTGCTTACAAATTTTAAAGTTTGGACATTAACATGTACATTTCTAAGCAACTCACTGTTCATATGAAAAATTTAAATACATGGGGTGGTAATAAATGAAATGTGCACATCGAAAGATACAAGGTGCAGCCAAAACAGCAGTCAGGGGGAAATGCATAGTCTTGAAGTGCTTATATTAGGGCACGCTATGAAACCTAGTGAGCTAACTGAGAAGTTGGGAAGATAACAGGAAACTAAGTGAAAGAGAAAGGACAAAGACAAAAGGTAATAATAAACTTTAAAAAATGCTGAGACACATTCAATAAAGTCCAAAGCTGGAGCTGTAGTTAAGGAGCTGCGCTGGCTGCTCCTGCAGAGTTCCCAGCAGCCACAAAGTGGCTCATAACTGACTACACTCCAGTTATAGGGGCCCTGACACTCCCATCTGGGCTTTTTGGGCACCAGGCATGTGGCACACAGACATACATGCCAGTAAACACTCAGACATGATATAAAGCAAAAAAGTTTTAAATGAAATTTCATCTCCACAAAACTGCTGCTAAACGGTATGTGTGCATGAGTGTGTGTGCGCGTGTACATGCGTCCATACGTAGGCATGTGTGTGTCGCAAGCATGTATACACATATGTACAATACATGCCTATGCCCATGCCGTGATGTACACATGAAAGTCAGAGGGCAATTTTCCCACCCTCTAATCCAAGCATTCGGTAGGCAGAGACTGGCAGGTCTCTGGTTCAAGTCCAGCCTGGTCTATAGAGCAGGGCCCAGGCCAGCCAGAACTAGTGAGGTCTTCTCTGGATGACAGGCCAGGAAGGAAGCAGGAGACCCCAGGACTGTGCTCAGCAGAGCAGATGGGAGCATCTTTGCATTCTGTTATGTTGTAAGTGGTATTTCTGGAACCAACCCCTGGCAGGCGCCGAGGGGCCATCAAATAACCATCATAAATTAGGTTGCTCAAGTTTCTAGCAGTAAGAACTCTTTCATTCAATATAGACATGGGGTTCCATGCTGTGTTGCTTTTTTTCCCAAATTATTCTTGTTTTGAGACAGGGACTCACTATATACCTTTAGCAGGCCAGAAACTCACTCTGTAGCCCTGGCTGGCCCAGAACTCCCAGAGGTCTGCCTGCCTCAGCCTCCGGAGTGCTGGGATTAGAGCGTGTTACTAGGTTACTATTTTCAAGAGGCTTGCTGCACAATTACCTATTCTCAATCTCTGAAACCCCGAGTTTCACCACTGGCTTCATTTCCTTCACAGTCAAAGCCCGAGCAAACTTTCATTATTTTGCTACCAAAAGGACACCAAGTGCTCACGGGTGGGAAAAAAAAAAAAAAAAAAAAACCAATGTTCAAGTCTGACTCAGTTAGGTTTGGATGGAGGAGGAGTAGGGTTGATTTCAGAACATTCCATCAGCAAAGGCCTTCGGGGGAGTTTACCTTGCCAGCAGCAAACAAGTGGCAGCCTTTGACGGCTTCAAAGACACTGGGGGAGACGTCGGGCTGGGCGGGAAGATGGGACTGAGCCAGGGACTGTTTCACCTTCTTCACATCCACCAGACAAAGGGCCCGCTCTTCCCCTGGGAGGAGAGCACAGCGCGGGTCAGGAGGAGGCTCACTTGAGCGCCCATGACTGGAAAGCACACGGACTAGGGGCTGCCTTTTAGCCAAGATAAATGTGTCTGAGTTTGGAATATCTGCATCTATAATGAAACACCTTGGGGATGGGGCCCAAGTCTACATGTGAAGTTCCCGTGTGTTTCTTAAACCTCTTATAGCCTAAAGCTAACTTTATATGGGGGGGGGGAGGGGGCGGTAGTTTGGGGGGGGGGGGCGGGGGGCAGCGGAAGTCCTGAACTTTGACTGAGACCAATCAAATGAGATGACGTAGGGAATTTTCCATGGGTAGCTCTGCAGTGACACCCAAAGTTTCAGACAGTGGAACGTTTTTTCAGATGCTCTGATAAAGGACACACTTGACCAGTACATGTATTTGTCCATGTTGTGAGTGACAAATAGAGGGTTGTGAACCGCTCACTCGGGGTGGAGGCAAGGGCCCAAAGCTCAGCCCCTCTCAAACTACATAAAAAGTTCAAGGCCAGCCTGAGATACCTATCTCAATTTTTTTTTTTTTTTTTTTTTTTTTTCTAGACAAGGTTTAAGCCAGGTGGTGGTGACGCATGCCTTTAATCCCTGCATTTGGGAGGCAGAGGCAGACACATCTCTGAATTTGAGGCCAGCCTAGTCTATGCAGCAAGTTCCAGGACAGCCAGAGCTACATAGTGAGACCCATCAAGGGGGGTTGGGGGGGGAGATAAGGTTTTACTGTGTAACAAACAGTCCTGGCTACCCTGGCTACCTGTAAACCAGGCTGCCTATCTCTACCTCCCAAGAGCCAGGATCAAGGCACCCGGCTACCTATGTCAAACATTGAAATAATAAATAAACAAAACTTCTGTCAACAAGTAATGAGGTTTAAAAAAACAAAAAACAGATGCCTGCCATTGACGTGTGACAGACTGATCATAGGTTCCTGTGCTGACAAACTTGGTTGGGGACACACCTGCAATTAACTCAAAGGGCTTTTTAAAAAAAGTACGTGCACAGAGGAAAGGAGAGTAAAATCCGTCGGTGAGTGTGAGCCCTGGAGCGGGCTGGGCACTCACAAACGTAAGGAACACGTTGCAGTAGCCACGTCACCATCACGTACAGGAGGCCAGCTCCCCGTGGGCCACAATGGGGCTGAGGCAACTAGAACAAAGGGCCTGAGGCCCAGCGTGAAGGATCGCTCACTCCCAGAATTGCTATGGCTGGGAAAGAGAAGGCTCGGGAGTCCAAGGTCAGCCCGGGCTACATGAGACCCTACCTAAAAAGAGAAGTTTGACGTTCATCAGTTTTCAGGGCCATGGGCGCTGTACTCACACGGCGGGCGCACATGCAAGCACTCATAAAAGTAGAGAAGCGAGGAGGCAGGCCCGGGGTCTAACGGGAGGTCTCATAAGGGAGCAAGCCTGGTCCTGTCCCACGCTCCTGTGAGGTGACAGTCTCCTGATTCCCAGCACGCTCCTGCCATGCTACCTGCACACGGTGACACAGCCCAGGAGAAGCCGGCACCGAGCCCACGCAACACCATTTGGACTTTTGAGCCTCCAGAGCTGCCGGGTGAACAAACCTCTGGGGCCCGGTCAGCCTTAGGTATTTCATTATGGCAACGAGAGCTAATTCAGCACCCTCCACTGGGCAGAATGTCCCGGGGTGGGGGGTGGGGTCCTGGAGAGTGTCAGACTCTGCTAACCTGGACACTGACAGGAAACCAAATGTGGACAAAGGGCTCATCAGCGGAGGCCTGGGACACGCAGCAGAGAGACACTGCTGACCCAACCTGCTGCCCAGAGCCTGCCTCTGCCTATTTCTGGCTTGAAACTCAGCTCTCCAAGTGCTGTGGAGGTCAGCAAGGAGGCCGTGCAGGAGGCCGCCCACCTGCTATCATGAGCAGCTTCTCCAGGTCCTTGATGATGTAAATTTGGAAGACCGCTCCAATTCCTGGGATGTGGGTTAAGGAGTTTTTCAAGACGTTCAGTGCATAGAGCCCTTCCTCTGTGCCCACCAGCACCACCTGCCAGGGCAGAAGTCCAGAGACACGGTATCGGTCGTGTGACCACAATAATCGATGTTTGTTTAACAGCAACATCGCCCACCCCCTGTGGCCAGATACTAGGACGGTACCCGGGCAGCTTACCTGGTCGCTGAAGGGTAGGGTACAGTTCATGTCAAGCCGGTCGTCCCCTTCCAGTTTCAGCAGAGAGTTTCCAAGTAACTTCTGTTCACGTGTGAAAGAAAAATGGAAAAAGGGGAGGAGACAGAGTGATTTCAAACTGTCTACAACCAAACCATCCAGAGAGACAGAAATTTAAAATCAGATTCAAAAGCGCACACTAGACCCGGGGCCTCGAGTATGCTGGGCTAAGCACTCCACCACTCAGCCACAACCCCAAGCTCCGGCCCCATCTTCTGACTGAAGGCCCAGAGGCAAGACAAGAGTTATCTGGTGTTATCTGGTGTTTTCCCGGGCAGCTGTTACTTAGTTTCAGAGTTACTACTTTGTGCAGGCGCACAGGGGTGGGTGAAAAGATGTAGGCACAGAAAGCTATTCTGCAACAGGAAACAAGATAAAGCTACGGAGGCCCCAGTCCCACCACAGCTGCAACAGAAATGCACGCACAGGTGCCCATAGCAAGGCAAGCTTCTAGTCCTGTTCGCCTCAGCCCGCACAGGCTGCAGCTAAGCGTCCTGTGGTGTTCCAGGAGGAGCTATGGGAATCTAGGCACACCGAGGATCCCACCGTCTCCAGGATAAGTGGGCCAGGCCTGCCTATGGAGAGCGGGTGCTGCAGGGGCCGCTGCCCGCCCGAGAGGCTACAAACAGCTTCCTGGGGGGCAGGCGCTCACTGACAGACTTGGGTCAGAGTACTTGTAACCCAAGGACCCCACTGAGTGAATGGGAAGACAGTTCCAGGCAACTCCACAGTGCCCTGCAGGGCTGCAGAGGGAGACACAGAAGTTCTTCACCGTTGCCTACGGCCTGCACCTCCAACACCACAAAGTCGGACACGACCCTAGCTGCAGCTATCGGCCCCCAGACGGAGCAGGAGGGGACCCCAGCCAGGCAGTGATGGGGATCCCATCCTTACAGTCAGGGCCCACAGCCACACACTCTACACAGAGAGAAGCACAGCCCCCATGGCCATGGGCATACTCACAGCATCAGCTTCCGCCTTCTCCCTAGAAACTCTCCCACCTGCGACGACAGATTCTAAGGCGGTGACCCAGCGCTGCTTGTCGGGAAAGCTGGGTGCTAGCAAGTACAGGGTTCTCCCAGGCCAGCAGGTGGTATGTGGGTGGGACTCCATCTTCAGTATGTATGGGACATCTGCAAGATTCCGGGGAGCACAGGATTGGCCCCTGGAAGCCCTCCCAGTGCTCCAGACAGGGATGATGTCATGGCATCAGCATCCCGCCAAACCCTGCAACTTGAGCTCCTGCTCAGACGGGGAACCAGACAGAGGTCTTGGCAGAGCAAACTGCCAGGTCTCATCCCCACCTCCTGGGCGGGGCTCTTCTGGGTCCCACTCACCTGCTTTGGCTGTATTTGCAAGTTCAGAAGCACCAATGGCACCATGGATAGATACGTCCCCGTCGGGAAGGCACAGCTCAAATTCTTCCACCGGCCTCTGTCCAGCTTGGTGCAAAGAGGAAAGGCAGAAGGAAAAACAAAAAACAGGACCAAGCACCAGAGAAGAGAGGGGAGAAGAGAAGGAGGGGAGGGAGGGGAGGGGAGGGGAGGGAGGGGAGAGGAGGGAGGAGAGGGGAGAGAGGGGGGAGGGGAGGGAGGAGAGGGGAGGGAAGGAGGGGGGGAGGAGGAGGGGGAGGGGGAGGGAGGAGAGGGGAGGTTAGGGAGGGAGGGAGGGGAGGGGAGGGAAGAAGGGAGGAGAGGGGAGGGGAGGGATGGGAAGGGAGGAGAGGGGAGGGGAGGGAGGGGAGGGGAGGGAGGGGAGGAGAGGAGAGGGGAGGGGAGGGGAGGGGAGGGGAGGGGGAGGGGAGGGGGGAGGGGAGGGGAGGGGAGGGGAGGGGAGGGGAGGGAAGAGTTTGCGCAAGGACAAAGAAGGGAATGAGGAGCAGACAAGGCAGAGGGAGATAAAAACAAAGTGTGTCAGATGAGGGGCACAGTCCACTGTGGTGACGGTCGGATTTATGGGCTAGCTGACTGGGGCGGAAGTTCTCTGGTGTGTTAGCAGGTGGGGTCTTCAGGGCAGCAGCACCCTGCGGCCCCTCAAGGGGGAGACCTACAGATTGAGTTTCGCACCAATGACCTTAACAGAAGGCATGGGGCTTCTAAGTTTGAAAGCCGGGAAAGCAGAGAAGGCTTGTGAGGCAGTCAGAACAAAAACAAACAAACAAATTGATTAATAAATAAAACCAAGAACTAAAAGCCTTCACGCCGACACTGGAAGGCCTGGGTTAGCCTCGTGCAATGCTATCTCCCCCGAATCATTCACTTACCTTCTCTGGCCTCGTTGTCATAGATGAGGACTTTTGACCCCTCCAAGACAATGTACTTCCTGTCCCAGCCTTGCTGCCCTCGTTTGTTATTCCTGGGAAAAGAATGATGGACAGGGAAAATGTCAGAACTCGGAAGCGGCAGACTGAAGCCAGGTGGAGGGGGCTTCCCCAGATGGCGGGGAGAGTGGGCGTGGCTTGAGAGTGGGCGTGGCTTGTGGGCCCTCCAGGCTGGCACCCGCAGGCGCCCAGGCCACCCTTCCAGATGCAAGCCCAGTGGTACCTGGGCACTTTCATCCACCCTTCCAGATGCAAGCTGCTGCTGGGCTCCTTGCTCTGGAGACCTGGGGAGTTCATTTTGTCCCGGCAGAAGGCCTCGGTGAAGTGCATGGCGTACTCAGCGGGCAGGCCGCAGGTGGCTGGCAGGCAGGTGGAGCACTTGGGGTGACACATCACCTGACATTCTAGAGGAGCAGAGAGCAGAGCCATGAACAGTCTGAAGACACTGCCAGCCAGCCGGGCGGGGACAGCGCCAGCCAGCCGGGCGGTGAGCTTCTCCACTGCGGCCAGGGCTGTGAGTGGGGCTGGGCACACAGGTGACGCCCATGCTTTCCAGGGTGCCTGGGGAGCAGAGAACCGCTGCCCCTCCACCCACTGCCCTCCACCCACTGTGTGGCTTCCACAGTGAGCTGGGCACGGGAACACGTTTGCATGTTCCGTTCAAGCCAGGAAGGGAGAGACTAGTCCGACCCCGAGGGGCTGGAAATTAACAAAGGCGGAGGCGGAAGTCAGGAGGTGAAGCCACCATTTGGAGTCACTGCCTTAAACGAGGGAAGGTCAGTGTCCTCCCACTGAAGTGAAAAGCTTTGGCAACGAATGTTTTACACGACAGTCTCAAACATCGCCTCTGTCTGACAGATTTGACAGATGGAGACAAGCAGGTGACCCCGAGCACAGATGCATGGCTGCTGCTCTTACCGAGACATTTGGATGCCTGGCGTCCAAAGTGCACGGTGTCCAGACACACGGCGCACTTGGTGGCTCGCATGTTCAGTCCCACGTTAAATCGGTGGGGGATGTTGTGGTGCATTCGCTCCTTAAGACGCCGACTAAATTCTGAAGGAAAAAGATTGTCAGTTGAAAGTGGAAAGAGGATCCAGAGGATGGGAGAAACAGTCTCTGGTGAGGACTTGTATCAAGAATCTAGTAGAGTTCTTACAACCCAGCACTTTGGCTAGAATATTTCCCCAAAGAGGAAATATGGCCCCAAAGTACCTGAAAAGATTCGAGGTGTCATTAGGCTTTAGGAAAATTGCAGATTAAAACCACAGCAAGGCGCCGTGTTGCACAGAAACTCCAAGAATGGGAGAAATGGGAACGGGGGTTGAAGGGGATGTGGGGAATGCCATCATCCTTTGCATTTCCCAGTAAGGACAGAAAGTGGCACAGCTACTCTGGGATCCAGTCGGACATTTCCTCCAAGGGTTATACATAGGATGCAACACGCACAATTCTCTAGCAATTCTACTCCTCACTTTATGCCCAAGAAGATGGAAGAGACACACACACCCACGACAGCATATTGCTCGCAGCGGCACAACTTACGGCAGCCAAAAAAGCAGAGACAACTCAAGCGCCGCCGCTCAGTAGCACAATGGGGGGACGCACCACCCAAACAATGAAATGTTATTTAGCCACGTAAAGAAAAGGAATGATATGTGCTACAGATGGGCAGATCTCAAAAACAGGGTGTTCTGGAAAATAAGTCAGTCACAAAGGGCTGCGGGAAGTATGATCCCATTCACTTCAAAGACCTAGAAAAGCAAATCCACAGAGAAATAAACTAGATTAGTGGTTGGCGGAAGCGGGGAGAGGGAGAAGGGACAATTATCTGCTGACAGGGTTCAGTGGTCGCGTGGTTTCAGGGGGGTCCTAACACTGAGTGTCTGAAAACACTGAATTGTATGTACATTTTAAGTAGATGGTTTTTATCTTCGTTAAAAGCTGTTAAATCATGAAACTATTGTAGCTACTGCATATGCATCTAGATTTACAGAGTAAGACCTCTGTGACCTGATAATTACTTTATTTAAGAACATATTCCTAGCCGGATGTCAGTGGCGCACGCCTTTAATCCCAGCACTAGGGAGGCAGAGGCAGGCGGATCTCTGTGAGTTTGAGGCCAGCCTGGTGTACAGAGCGAGTTCCAGGACAACCTCCAAAGCAATACAGAGAAACCCTGTCTTGAAAAAACAACATATTCCTGGTAGAAAGCTGACTCATGATGGCACCCGTGTTTGTGAGCATTCAAGGGGGGGGGGGGAACTACTGTTGTTTGAGACAAGGTCTCATTATGCAGCCAGTTTCTGGCTGGCTGAGTTCAAACGCAGACTTGCCTGCCTCTGCCTCCTGAATGCTGAAGGTGTTCACCACTAGTCCAGCCCTAAACATGTTTATTAACTGATTATCTGTAAATATTCAGACATGAAAGCATGTATCCAGTGCTTTTCATGGAACTCAGTTTAAAAGTAATAATTATGAACTGCGGGATTTTTTTTTTTTTTTTTTTTTTTTTTTTTTTGTTATTGAAGTAAGAACTTACTGAAGAATTCTTTTATAACCAGCTGTTTTCATGAATGGCCTTTACTTCAAAACTTTTTATGTCTGGAGAAGCTGAGTCTTAACCTTCCATTTCAGCCTGGTAAACTAACAAGGCTGACTTCCCCTATCCCCACCAACGTACTGGCTCTCAACAGTGACCCGGTGAGGCAACCTTATACGGACCTCCAGCTCCGCTCTGCGGGGGACCCTTACCACGCCGCCCCTCTTCCTTTCTCGGGAAGTTGCCTGGAGTGACACGGATGCTCGGTGACAAGAGGAGAGTACACACCCAGGAGGAGGAACACACCATGGGCAACCACGGTGCCCAGAGAACCGCTGCGGGACACGCTTGTCGGTGGACACCTCGCCGCCGAGGAACGGTTCTTTCCTATCTGGATGACTTTTAAAGGTAGTCACCCTGACCAAGGTGTCCCTATAAATGCAGCAGCACAGGAAGGCGCCTTGGTCCTTAAGAGCACAGCTATGAGACAGTGTCATCAAAAGCCACAACCTGAGAAGGTTGACGGTAAGGGCAGGGCACGCAACGGCAGCCCCCCTTTGCTCCCCGACAAGGCTTCCCAGGCCATTTTCCTAAACCCTTTCCTCTCTGCATGAGACGGTGCTTTTGAGACCACAAAGAAACCCTTTAACCTGTCAGTGGTCATAGCCACTGGCTGGGGATTGGCCATATTTGAAGTGCCCATAACCTTTCACCCACCGATTCCTTTGCCAAGGACCCACCCCTCAGCTACTCCTGGAGGTACGGGACGTCCCGTAAAGTACACGTGGCAGCTAGGGCAGGTCTCCTCTAGTAGGGGACTCACCTACCCACACTGTGGAAGTCTGCGTGTGCAGTTCTTTGCCGGAGGGACGCGGGCTCTAGTATACAATAGACGCTGAGGTAGCTTGCAGAGTCAGGGACAGTGTCTCTACCACTGTCTCTAAAAGTGGACCTACGAGGCACAGGTTGATTTTCTCGTGTTCACTGTCGTAGCCCTGGCTGGCCGGAAACTCACAGGGATCCCCCTGCCTCTGCCTCCTGGGTGCTGGGACTAAAGGCGGGTGCCACCGTGCTGACTTATGTTCTCGAAATGCATTCATGTCAGGAAGGTATGGGACTGAACGCTAGCAGCAGCTACTCTGCAAACTGCGATGGATGGGGAAGGAGACTTTCAGAGGTGTTCCACTGGAGTCCTGAGGACACACTTCCCATGTCCGCATTGGGGTTCCGGGGTTAGGCATGCCTGGCCACACGGTTCCCTCTGACACGTTGAGATGCAGCGACACCACGTTTTCGAGATGCTGGCACCACACTCTTGGATTTCCCAGCCACATAAACATCTTTGCTCCCCAAACCACCCCGTTTCAGATGTTTTGTTACAACAGTAGGAAACAGACTGTGACAAGAGCGTACCCTCTGGAGGTGACGGTTCCTTTCTGCGGCTGGACGGCGGGGCGAGCAGGCTCATGGCACTGGGTTGGTGCTCGGGTGACCGCACGATGGCGGACATGGCAATCTGCTGCCTCGCAGTGGCTGGAGTAGACGGGTGTGGGTGGTCCGTGGCTTTGCGGTGGGCGGCTGCAGAGACACCAGAATAAAGCCTGTCAGTTGACTCAGCCACCTAGTGGGCCAGACTAAGAAGGGTGCCCACGGCTGCCTTTCAAGGACCAGAGATGGAAAGAAAGGGCAGGCGTCGCGCTAACTAACGCCCAGGAGGCTGGAAAACGTTCAGACTCAGGGCGCGTCTGGAGTGAGAACGAACAGAGATGCCGAAGCTGGTCTCGGCCAGTCTCATGGGGAACGGTCTTCGGCCTGGTCCGTAGTTTTGAAGGCTTCCCGAGAGCTCCTACCTTCCTCCCGGGCTGACCGGAGCTCGATTCGGGTCTTCTGAAGGGCTTCCTCTAGCTCTGCACACCGCGCTTTCTCCTTCTCCAGGGCCAGCTTCAGTTCATTGTACTGTAGAGGAACCTGTGTGGGTAAAGCAGGGTCCTCTTTCCGTCGACTAAATAAACCCTAGCAATGGAAACAGAGATATCTCCTAACTCCTAGAGACTGGCACTGGACCCCAGCTAAAGGACAGTTGACTCAGGCCAGGCACATACTCACTGTAAGTGTGTTTGGGGGGGGGGGGAATGGCATGTGAAGGGGGAGGGGGGGAAGGGGAGGCTGAGCCTCAGCCCATTCCGGTCTGCTGCAAAAGAGTCGGGTGCACAAGTGTTCACCGAGACGGGTAAAGACTCTTCAACTGTCACCAACCGCACCAACTCCTCCTTTAGCATTCCCAAGACAGGAGGGCCACTTCCCGAGAGTCTTCCCCTCAGAAAAGGCAATCACGCGGGGTGGAAGAGGGAGCTAGATGGCTACGGTTCAGAGGTCGCGCTTGCCTTTGAACTTGTCTCATGGTGCTTGGTGACAAGACACGGGAAGGGATGGGGACTTTGTTTGATTTAAAAAAAAAAAAAGAAAGTAAAATTTGAAAATGAATGCCAAAATGATATCAAAACAAGGGGCTTACCAAAAAAGAAAAAAAAAAATGCCGACAGAAATATTGTACACGAGAAAAAAACAAAAAAACAAAACAAAAAAAAAAAACCAAACCAAAAATGGAATCACGAATCTGACGAAAAATATTAACTGAGAGAAAACCAAATACAAACGAAATGCAAACACCCTAACTACATCAGTGACACAACCAGACAACAGTCCGCAGCTAAAATTTAAAAACAAAAAAAAAAGATTAAATATCATGAGCATAGCAAATATGGTACCATGGTAGGCAAGAAAACCCCTGGTGGCTGCTAGCACTTAGCAAGAGGCAGCATTGGGACGCTTGCCACTCACCCCTCAACGAAGGTGACATGGGGGCACCAGCCAATCAGTGGCATTGGTCCTCCACTCCAAGTCATCAAGACATTTCCTTTCACGCTACTGTGAACTACAGTGTGTCGGGACCTTTGCGGAGGGGGACTGCCAAGCCCCCTAGAGACCTTTCTGGAACTGAGAACACATGGCCAACCCTGGACGAGCGCTTCAGCCACTGGGGAAGGCGCAGACCAGGTTTATTTATGAAAAGCAATCTCCACACAGGAATCTTCCTGTGCCCTGGCCTTAGCTAACTGTCCCCAGCACCCCAGGCTAGGGCTGAACCTAGGTCATAGTATGTCACAGCTGGCTTGTCGCTTGGTTTTTTATTTCTTTGTTACAGCTTAAAGCAGAGAGCCCAGTGCCGGTGAAGGCAACAGCTGTCAAGTTTTAACCAGGTCGTTTCAACTTCCTGTATCCAAGTTAGTCATTTAACAGTGTTGGACTAGGCACGTGTGGGAGGGAACATTTAAAATCCCAGTACTTAAAAGGCAAAAAGAAAAAAAAAAAAAAAAAAAAGGATTGTGAGTTTAAGTCCAGCCTGAGCTACATAGCAAACTTCTGTCTTGAAAAAGATCCAAGCAGATCACCCTGGAGACCCCTGGGTGACATGAGACCCTGCCCTAGAGTTCCATACGCCACCTGCTAAACTCTCAGAAGATACTTCTGGATGACCCACATGAGAGTCCCAGACACGCGACCTTCAAGCCTAATATTCGACCTACACAGATGACCCGCTCGCTCCATCCTAGCTGATAACATCGTTCCCTTAGCTGGTCCTGAGCAACAGTTCCCTGTGACAGAGGCCCCTCCGGTTACACCCAGATCCAGTTCTCAACCCAGAATGAACAAAACTGGATGCTTTTTTCCTGTTTGAATGATTCTTCCTCACAGTGGCGCCCACAGTCACGGGTGACGGGCTGAGATGGCTGCCCCTGATGTCCAGCGCTCTAACTTACCTTTTTCTTTTTAGCCGGCTGGTCCATTTTGGCTTGCAAAAAATCAATGAGTTTGGTTTGTTGAGAAATAGTGCCTTCCATTTTCACCTTTTCATGGGAATAGAGAACCTACAATTCATGGAAATAAAGATGACCTCAGAGCTGGGTGGAAGCGTATGCTTGAATTTGGTACTTCAAGAGTATGAACACATAAAAACACCGCTGGGTACTTATTTTGTCTCAGTTTCACGGTGAGAAACAAGCGAGCAAGCAAACAAACAATCAGAAAACAAGACACCAGGGGGCCGGCAAGACCTGCCACCAAGCCTGTTCTCTGAGTTGGACTGACTTCCAGATTGTTCTCTGACCTCATGCACACCCCGTGGCATACCTCCCAAATAAATACACAACCTAGACGCATATGAAGAGTGAGCCTACAAATGGGCTTCAGATTGTAGATCCTATGACCGTTCAACTTCAAAGAATGTTAGAAATTTTTCATACTTGAATGTTGGAGAAAGCACGCGGCATACAAACGATCGACACTATCAACCACAAAGGGGTAGGGGAGAGGAGGAGAAGGAAAGAGGGAGGGAGGGAGGAGGGAGAAGAGGGGCTAAGGAAGAGGAGGGAAGGAGGGGCGGGAAGGGAGGGGGGAGGGAGGAGAGCCACAGCAGCGCCCCCTGCTGGCCCCCACCTGAATGTTTTCCAGCTGATACTCCAGGTCGCTCCTTTCTGTCTTCAACAGATCTGCCCGGTCCAGCGCCTCCTGCAGCCCTTGCGTCAGGCGGAAGATGTGGCTCTTCTGCAGGTCCATCTGCTGCTGTAGCTTGGCTTGCTGGTGGGGGAAGGAGGGGGGGCGGCAAGAGGCTCGACACCGTGCAGAGCCCCAGCTCCTTCCCACCGTGCTCCCCATTTCCCAAGTGACTTAGGGCGTGACACCGCGAGCTCCCTTGTCCAAGCATCTCCTTCTCTTCCCAGTCAGAAGGCCATCACTAAAAAGGAAGTTTCTAGGACCTCCTGAAGGCCACATGCCTGTAATCTCACCCTGCAAAGTAACAGGAAGTCTAGGCCTGCCTGCTCTGTGCCACCAAGAAAGACATCTAGGTACTGTGTGTCCCGCTTGGGATGCCTAGGACCTGCGTGTGTGATTGGAAAAGCCACAGCACAGGCTGTGTGGTGTGCACACAGGCCGAGCTGCAGGGCGGCCCCAAGTACATAAACAGCCACAATTAGAGGACACGTTACTGCAGTGGAGGGACAAAGAGCAGCCTAGCCACGCGATAGGAGTTGACAAAAACCCAAGGGTATAATGAGGTCCGTATACTAGAGAAGGTTGGTGTTGAAAAATCTCTCCCATCTTTACAGTGTAAGTCAGCCCCCTTCCTGGAATGCGCTCATTCGGGGAGACGATGCTTGGTCTCGTCTAACCTCTGCTTGTCATGCAACCGCAGTCAAGGTGGCCCACGGAACCTCTCCCCGGAAGTCTAGACTCTCTGCAGACTGAGGGGAAGCAAACCAAGACAGCAAAATGAAGATCGTCCTGGGAGCTTTCAAACAGCCCCGGGCAGGCAGGCAGGCAGGCAGGCAGGCAGACCCAGTTACCAATGCCACAGAACAGAAGCTGCTATGGCCCGAGACTGGCTGGTCCTCGCCCTCATTTCATTGCTCCCTATATTTTACTTCCCATTTGCATGGCAGCCACTACTGGAGGAGAGGCATCATCATCTTAGGGTAAATCGAATGGGGACCCTGGGCTTACATCCTGCTCAGACCGCCCGGCCCAGCCTTTGCTTGCTTCTTCCTGAGCGGGTGTAAAACGCTGCCTCCCGGGGTGACAAACTCCACCGCACACAGTAAGTGCTTGGTGTTGGTGGCCTCCACCTGTGTGTCGTGTCCTTCCTGCTCTCCTTCCACATCCGTCTCCTCACACTTTCCTACCTGCCTTTTCTACCAGCGCAGCCACGTTTAGTATGCGAGACGGCCAAACTTGATGGTCAGCTTGATGGAGAAGACATTAGTGACGCATGTCTGGATGTTCCTGATGAATTCCCAAGGCAATTAATTAGCTCTTGCGGTTGTGTCCTAATGAGCCCTTGGGCGGGCTCGCAGTGTGATGGGCGGTACTACTGGGGGATGCTGAATGGTAGGAGGTGTGGCCCACGTGGAAGGAGTATGTCATCAGTGACTGTGCTTGCCCTGACCTCTCTCTGCTCTTTCTCCTGCTCTACACTTCCCGGCTGCCTTCATGGGCGACGGCTCCACTCCTCCAAACTGCCCTCCTCTGAAAAAGACGGATGAGTCTTCTGAAGCTGGGACCTAAAATTAACACTTTCTTCAAGTCGCTTATGTCATGCATTTTGCCACAACAGAGAGAAACTAATAAAGTGCATAGCTTGGAATTTCTAAAATAAAGCAGAGGTAAAAACAACACCACCACAACAACAACACAAAGGTGACAGCAGTTAAGATGCTGTCCCAGCGGCTCCTTTGGCCCCTGAAGGTCCAAGCGACTTCCTTCCTTAGTCTCTTTCGCTATTTCAGGACAACGAATTAGCAAGCGGGAACCAGGGAAATGTATCACAATGGTCTGTTTATTAACAACTGGGCCAGAAGTATTTCTCCAGGCTAAACACGTCAATTACCCACTGGCTCTCCAAGAAATAGGCTGTTTGTTTATTGTAACAGAACCAAGTGAAAGTGATGTCTGTACTCTGGGAAATGTTACTCAAGGCATCTATCCGCTGCCCAGAGGGAGGCAAAGGAAGGTGCGTTTGTGGGCCAGGGCTCCCCTGGGAGACGGACTCAGAGACCTGTCCAACACTTTGATGAGTGGCGGGGAGGGTGATGTAAGGAAGTAACGACAGAATCGGGGCACGGGCAACTGTGGTGAGCAGGAAGGATGGGTCAAAACTAACAAGAAAAAGTTGGGTAGGATGAATAGATACGGGGCGTAGAGATGCTTAAGAACACACTTTGTGGACAAACAGGCGTAATCTCACAGGTTAATGAGTGTCAATGGCAACAATTACTCAAAGAGCCAAGCAACCCTCAGAGCTTGCTGAGCCCAAGGGAGGGAGAGATGGAAATATTCCCCGACACCGACACCACACAGGCGGCTAGGGCAGCAGGTGTCCTGTTAGGCTTCCTGCAAGGACAGTACAAGCCAGTTCACGTACAGTGCTGAGTAAGACACCTGGTACGGGGTAACTGTGTTAGTGACCGGCATTCGCTTGTGAGCATGTGCATGTTTTGTTTTTTTTTTTTTTTTTTTTTTTTTTGTTTGTGTGGGTTGGGCTCTTATTTTTTTTTTTTTTTTTTTTATACTGTTGGGGACTGAACCCAGGCTCTTGCCCACCATAGGCAATCAATCACTCCATCAGTAAAGCTACATCCTCCAGCCCCCTCCAGTTACTTTATTAATCAAATAATTTGGGTTAAGAGTTCTTGCAGCTTCTCTGGGGACTCGGGCTCTGTCCCCAGTGGCCCTGTCAGGCAGATCTAATCACTACCTGTACCTTCAGTTTCAGGGCATCTGGTGCCTTCCCTAGCTCGCACAGGTACCCACACACATGGGCACACACATACACATAAAGAAAAATAACTCCTGACTCCACATTAGCTTCCAAGTGTGACTCTCCTGGGAGAGGGTCCACGAGGCCTGCCCTCGTAACCAATGAGCAAATGGACATTCATCTGGGGCATGACTCCCAAAGGGCTCAAGTGAGGGGAAGAGCCACTGTAAAATCCGTCAGGGGAACTCAGTCCTGAGAGGAATTTGGGCTGGATGACATTAAAAATTCCTAAACCTGAGACCAAGTCTGTCTCTGCAAAGCCTCCGTCCCTATGGAGACAACCCTTTGCTGGGGAACAAACTTAACAAAGCACTCACCACACCCCCAGATCCCAACCACGTTTTGCCCAGTGAACAATGATTCTTTTTTAGTCTTATAATGGTTTTCGGTGACGCGCAAGTTCCAACTCAAATCAATGCTGGCCAGATGTCTACTTGTCATCTATTCCCGAGGGGCAGACTGGGAAACTGGAGGGAGAAGGTGGGGCTGAGTCAGGCTGCCTGCACGCTATTCCTGGCTTTGCCACTGACTCACCATGTAACCCTGGACCAAACATGGAGCTGTCAGGGCCAGCTTGCCCTTCGCAGATGGAAAATAGGACACTCGGGAGCCTCAATTATTTCTGTCCTGTTTCTGTTTCCAGCGTGTGCCTGGATGTCGGAACATTGCCTATTCACCCCAGAGAAAAGACCACCTGGTAGATTCCCAACATCAAAACCCCCAATTGGAAATGTTCCCGCACCCAAAACTTCCTGAGTAGAAAATGCCACCACTGATCTCATGTGATGGGCCACTGTGAAAAACGTGGGTATGTTAGAAACGCACAGGACAAAGGGCAAAGACAACAGGTAGAGCTCAGGATTGTGGTGCTTACCCAGCATGCATCAGGCCCTAGATTCCAGCCCCATTACCACACGCAAAGGCAGTCTAACATTACTGCCAGTCTATGTGTGTATGATGTCAGGGACTCTCATGGTTATATTTGGGTCCTATCCCCAAGAGGTTTCATTATTTATACATGCCAGTATTTCAAAGATCCAAAATCCAAAATACTTCTCGTTCCAAGTATTTTAGAAAGGAACAGTCAACCTATACCGTGAATTTCATTATATCTGAAGAATTTCATTCATATGTGTTTGTATACATAAAACACTCAGAAGGCAGAGGCAGGCAGATCTCTGTGAGTTCGAGGCCAGCCTGGTCTATAGAGCCAGTTCCAGGACAGCCTCCAAAACAATACAGAGAAACCCTGTCTCAAAAAACAAAACAAAACAAAAAATCTAAAAAGAAAAAAAAATATTTTTTAAGTTTTGGTGATAAAACCTACTACATAAACTTAATCTCTTCAATTGTTTTTCTTTTTGTTCATGATGCTAAGGATCAAACTGCCGGTCTCTGGGACACTAGATCATTTTAGCTATACCTCTCCCCCCACCCCACCACCCGTGTGTAGGTGAGGCATCGGTTTCCTCCTTCCACTATGACCAGAGACTGGACACAGGTCATCGGGACTGATAGCAAGCACCTTTGCCCACTAAGCCACCTACCTCCCCAGCCCCACCTGAGCTCTGGAGACAGACTTTCTCACTCACCCTGAAGTTAACTGCTTGAGCTGAGCTGGCTAGCCACTGAGCACGGGGGACCCTGCGGCCTCTGCCTCCCCAGTCGCCTCCCCAGCCTCCCCAGCACTAGGGGCGTAGAAGCCACTGCTCACGGCAGTGGAGCGGAACTCAGATCCTCACATCGTCACTCCACCGATGGAGCCGCCATTTCAGCCATAACATGGTGGCATTAAGGACATTCTCAGTGTTGTGTAATCAGCACCATCATGCACCTCCAGAGCTTTGCCAGACAGCCAGCTGTGAGTTTATACCACAGCTCGCCGTAAGCAGTCCTAAGAGACCTCTACTCCCCTCGAACAGAACAACAGAACAGCACAGCCATGTAGTAGTCATCAGCAGAGTGCCTCGGGAGCTCTGACCACACGATTAGCATGGGGTTGTGGCTAAGCAAGCTAACCAAAGCTGCCAAGGGCAGTTAGATGGTGCCCTTCTCCAGCTGGCAACAGGAAGTTCATCTGCCCTTGTAGGTCAAGCTGAGTGAAGGTGAAGCCACTGTGAGGCTTTGGTTGGGGGTGGGAAGTCATCACCGATTTAAATAGCAATTTTCGGAGCTCTGAGCAGAAAAGACATGAAGTCACAGAAGGGATGCATTTAGAGATCAGCTGGAGCTTGACATCCGAGTGTCGAGATCAGGAGAATTCATTTTTAATTGAATTAAGTGCATGTTCAAAGGCCCTCGTGAAATTTGGCACTCAAAGTCTGATCACATTCTTGCCCTGTGTAGGAAGCTAATTTGCATTGGTGTTCTGTCAACATGAAACTTAATATGCTTCAACTATCAACTCTTAAAGACAATCAACCCAAGCTTCACTCAGCCATGTGCTCGCTAAGCCTCTATTGGGCATATACCAACTCCAACAAACAGCCGTCTCCATCGAGCGCCATATACGAAGACACAAATACAACAAATACAGACGCTCTGTCCTTCAGGATAAACTCTTTGACTGTGTTAAGCAATAAGAAGTGCTATACAGTCCCCTTAGGACTCTACCTCAAAAATTCTAGTTTCAAAATCTGAATGGCTAATTTGGAGCCAGTCACCCAACATAATGGCTTTCCTCTTTCAAAATCGTATCTGGGGGCTCAGGCGATGGCTCAGCGGGTAAAACACTTCCTATTCGAGAACGAGGAGGTGAGCTGAAACTCCCACCACCCACCTAAAGACCTGCGCATGGCTATGGATGAACCCTGAGGTCTGGGCAAAGGCAGCTGGATCTCTTGAGCTCATTGGCCTGCTCAAAATGTGGAGCTTCCGTTGCAGCGAGAGGCCTTGTCTCAAGGCAATGAAGTGGACAGCAATATATAGATAAGTCACCAACATGCTCCCCTGGGCTCTGCATGCAACACTCACGGGCACAGGACCCCGCACATACACATGTATGCAACACGGACGCACAAACTTACACACACACACACACACACACACACACACACACGCACGCACGCATACGCGCACACACACACGCACGCACGCATACGCGCGCGCGCACACACACACACACACACACACACACACACACACATATGGCTTTGCCTTCTTGGTGGATCACACTCACCTCTTCCAGAAGCCTCTGTTTGAGTTCCCGCTCTGTCTCCAGTTTCTGCTGTAAGCTCCGGGCGTTCATCTCCAGCATGGCATGCTTCTTCTCCAGGTCGCTGAGCTGGGCATTTGGAAAAATTACCCATGATGCCACATTTGAGAATGCTAAGTAAGGGGCTGCATACTTTTTTTTTTTTTTTTTTTTTTTTTTTTTTTGAGATGTCCCCAGATCTTCCCATGAAAAAGATAACCAAGCCTTGACCGAATTCAATTAAATGATCATATTCTGAGGGCTTGCAAATGTGTTATAGCTGCTCGGGTGAAAAGATGGCCAAGCATTCCCAAGGACCCTTCCCTGGGGCCAGAAAGGCAGAGAGGGTGGTTATCAAGAGGCACATCAGCTACTGGGAGGGGCATCCCCGAGGGACAACCACCTTGTTAGGGGAAAGGCCTCAAAACCAGGTAAGATAAAATGGTGTTGGGGGATCTGGACACACAGACGTTGACCACTAAACACTACCATAGCCAGCTAGAATAGAAAAGCAGCATTCACGTTAAACCCAGTAAGGCTCATTCTCTCCAGACAGTAAATGTACCATCCTCAACTTTTAACAGTTTTGACCAGCCAGCCAGCCTCCGAGTCGGAGATGCCCTTGAGTGCCGAGTTATAACCTTGAGACCAATGGTTCTGTTTCTATGAATTTCCGGTGAGAAAATAATCACAGATGTCCATAGAGATTTTTGTTCATCACAGTGTTATTCATAGGGGGAAAAAAATTGGAAGAAGCCCAAATTTCCTGTACAAAGGCAATGCTCAAATTAGATGCCTGTGTGCAATTTTGTTTTTTCAGAATTATGTGTCTAAAAAAAATATTTAATAAGTCAGGAAAAGCCTCCAGTTATATGTTTTTTTATAAAAAAAAGATGTATAAGTATATAAATAGTAAGAGCCTAAAGTTATAAAAAAAAATGTGTGTGCATATGTGTGCATGCATAAGAATAAGCAAACACAAGACTGTGAATAATCCCACCACTATAGCAAGGTAATTGTTACCAGTTTTTCTTTTCCTTTCCCCGTAGTTTTGTTCTTTTCCACAATGGCCCCAACTAATGCCTTTCATATGGAACGACAGTGTTACTTAAAATGCAGAATCCTGACCACCATTTTATGTATCCACATGTGAAGAAGAAACGTAAAATTTCTCTGATATCTCCTTTTGCTATCAAGTGCCTAATCTACATTCCTTCAGTCTATTAGGCCAAAATGCCAAACACTAGCGTCCCTGTTGGATGCACTGCAGACCATGGGCGTGGATGGAGCGCTCCTAACCGACACTCTGAGGACTTGGTGCATTACACCCTATTGCGGCCCAAGTGGCCCCCGGAGTTCTTGAATTAGAGACTCACGTGTGGATGGCACTAGGAGGCTGGGCCTGTGGGATATTAGTATTACATGAGGATGTAAGGGAGAGGCCCCACAGAGGCATGAGTGGCGTCCTACACAGATGACAGAGCTGGCAAGGTGTTCTGCCTCATCATGCCTGCGGTACCCGCCACCAACGCAACATGGCAAGAGGGACCTCTCCACAGATGCAGGCACCACCACCGTGCACTTTCCGGCCTCTAGAACTATCAGCCAAATGTATTCTTTACAGATTACCCTGATCCCAAGTACTTGGGTATGGCAACTGAAAATGGGCTACAGCCGGCTCGCCGTGAACTGAGCTGCCTTCGATCACACTGAAAGAACGAGTCACTGTCGCCTCGCTCTTCTGAAGGGTGATCAACACACGGCCATTTAGGAATCAAATGGCGCTGTGTCCCCAGAGCTGGACTTTTAGAGCCCAGATAGTGAGATGTTAAAAAAAAAAAATCACCACCCATGATAACCCAGTACCCGCCACACCCAGCTAGGCCACCATCAACCAAGAATGACCCTCGGTGAACCATAGCTGACATTTGGGAGTGAGCCAAGCAATGATTCTGAAATGTGTTTACCACGGGCTGAATCTGAATTCGTGTTAACCCCGCCTTTAAAGGGGGAAGCATTTCCCTGCTATGCAGAAGGGGTGGGTGCTGACCTTATCGGACAGGCTCTCGGCCTTCAGCTTCTGTTCTTTGAGAGCCTGCTGCAGGGCAAGAATCTCAGCCTTGTGTTCCTTCACAGCCAGCTCCACCACCTGGCGAGACTCGGTGATCCGCTGGTCGGCTCTCGCCCTGCCGGAGAAGCACAGGCCCGCATTCAGGAGCCCCTCACCACAGACCTGGAGGGAGGAGGCTGGTCCGTTTCCAAACAGGCTCCAGGCTGGACAGGAGCCCAACCGTGGACTCCACCTTTACATGCTGTATTTCTTCCTGACAGCTTACAGAGCAAAAACTCTGACCCATTTCAGACTTGGGTTAAAATTGCCCTGAAGCAGTAAGGTCCCTGTTGGGGACTGACTGTGGAAAGGCCTGGGCTGAGGAGGGAAGAGCCACCCTCAAATGGAACTGGACTGAAAGTGAGCGTGTCCAAGAGTGTCAGACTCCCTGTAGGGCGGTGGGTGCAGAATGGCCCCCTCCCATACCCATACGGCCACCAAGGAACCAGAGCATGTGGCAGACCATGGGAGACCCCACTAGAAACCAGTGACCACCTTCTCCTCTCAGAGCACAGGCAAGACATAAATGATTCATAAAAGTCAAAATGTGAGCCGGACGTTGGTGGTGCACGCCTTTAATCCCAGCACTCGGGAGGCAGAGGCAGGAGGATCTCTGTGAGTTGAGTTCGAGGCCAGCCTGGTCTACAGAGCGAGTTCCAGGACAGGCTCCAAAGCCACAGAGAAACCCTGTCTCGAAAGCAAACAAGAACCCGGTGGATGTATCCACTAAAGAAGGCAAAGCTTCAAATGTAAAAGGGAGGGGAAACACACTTCTTCCCCCACATCCAAATCCTATGTTTTCCTGCCTCTGCACCTGGGCTGGTGTGTAGCAACATTCTACTCTACAAACTCTTAGCCATCCCAGATAACCCATGCTCGGGTTCCAGAACCCGGCGCCAGCCCCACCTCAGAAGTCACCCTTCCCTGTCCTCCACCCAAAGCACAAATCTGCTGCTCTCCAAGCAGGCGGTACTCGCTACTCTCAGTGACAGACATCGAATTGACACACACAACAAAGTGCCTCTTGGCTTCTTGACGATGAGTACAAAGATTAAAAGTGATGTATTGGCTGTATAATACCAAACAAGAACAGAAAAGCAAGCCAGGAAGGACCTTTCACGATTGCACTGGAAGTAGACGTGGAATGAAGCGGTCCACACATTTTCTGGGTGTGGCTGTGTATCTCTCCACCCCACACATGCACGCATCCATGCGTGCGCGCGCGCGCACACACACACACACACACACACACACACACCTGCCCAGAAACCCAGACTTATCCCTGAGAGACTGAAGGAAGGGGCAGCTCTCACAGAAGCGGGCTTGAGTGTGGGCCCGAAGGTATCTGTGGAAGAGTGACTAGCTCTTCCAGGGGAACCTCATCCCTGGGAGGCGGAAGGAAGGGATGGGACAGGTTTTAAAAACACATCACAAGGCAACTGCTGCTCCCAGTTTCTCCCGCAGTTTCAGGGCTCAAATCTTTCGCCTCCCATCTTTTCTATCCCGGCTCAATCAGGGATCAGACCATTCGCCAGCGTGTTTTGTTCAATGTCCTATGGCCACCAAGTGATCGTGGGGGGAGGGGTACAAAGGTGGCTGACAGTCTGATTAGTCCGCCTTGCTTGTGGGACACAGAGACCCACTGGGAGGTGGCATCAGCAGGGTCCTGGAGGATAAGATACCATGGAGGAAGAGACAAGGAGTCACCAGCTAGTGCTGACCCATATGAAAGAGAGACAGGCCTTCACGGGAATTTCTGGATATGGGCTACAAACTGAGCATCAAAGCTCTTCAGTTGGCTGGCACACTCAACGAGAATGGGACTCCCTCAACTGTGGTGGCCCCAGCCGGGAGGGCACTGAAAACTGGGAAGGATGATAGAAATAAGCCACGGTTCAAAAGAAAGGGCAGGGGATGAAGGGAGAGAGGAGAAGGGAGTGGGTGCCTGTCCATGCTCACCCCGGGGTGCTGGGTGACTTCTGGGATTGTTTTTAGCCGTCACAGTTACTGCTGGCATCCAGTGAGAAGAAACCAGGAGGATGTGCCCTGTCCTCTCATACAAACCGCCCTGCACACGGATAACAAGGGATGCCCAGGCAAGTCAAGGCATCAGGGCTCCAGAGCAGGAGCCAAATGAGAGTCTCCTCATGACCGGGACTCAAATGGTGGGGACCTCATTTGGTGGGTGGTACTGTCGGGAGAAGAAAGTCGGCGAGGCTGAATCTACAGAAGGGCACTGATACTTTATGCCTTGGTTGCGGGACCTCTGCACAGGCCAGAAGCACACCAGCCACTACCACAGGACCCAGGTGACATCTGTCAAACGCAGAGCCAGGATGTCCACCCCTCCCTGGCTCTGCTGGTCACTGCTCCTGAGACAGCTCAGTCCCAGAACACTGGGGCGGGGGATTGCCTGGCGCTGTCTTCGCACAGAAGGGGAAGCCACACCTGCTTTGCTTCTCGGTGTCCAGCATCCTCTGCAGCTCTCGAACGCGACACTCAAACTGGGACTTCTCGTCCCCGAGGACGCTCCTCCAGGCCTCCCATTGCCGCTCTTTTTCCAGCAGCTCATCGTTGAGGGCCTCCAGGTCCATGACCTGCTCCTCCAGCATGGTGCACGTGGTCTTCAGGGCCTCCATTGTCTGCAAGGCAGTAGAACTGAGTTGTGCCTTGTGTCAGATGGGGATTCCCAGAGGTGACTTGTCAAACGGCTTCGCAAGAGCAGACGTTCCTAACTACAGATTCAACCAGGCTGTTTTTCCATCCTACAGCCCAAGGAGACCGATGACAAAGGACCAAAGGCCATCTATCTGTACTAGCATCTAAAACGTACAACCCAAAGCCAGCCATGGGGTGGGGAGGGGACATACACACACACACACACACACACACACACCTGTAATCCCAGGAAAAGGTCAAGAGTTCACTGTCAGCCTAGATAGTGAGTTCTGGCTAGGTAGGGTTATATAGTGAAACTGTCTTTAAAAATCAATCATATCTACTTTTAAAGATTTTATTGTTATTTTTATGCTTATGCACACACACACACGTGCGTGCGTGCGTGTGTGTGTGTGTGTGCGCGCGCGCGCGCGCGCATGTGCATGTGTGATGTATGCAGGCGCCTAAGGAGGTTGGAAGAGGTATTGGATTCCTTGGAACTGGAGGTTTCAGGCTCTTGTAAGCCACCGAGTGGACGCTGAGAACTGACTGAACTTACATCCTCGGCAAAAGCAGGGAGCGCTCTCTGCTTCTCTGGCCCCAGTACCCACTTTTAAAATCCATTTTAAAAACCACAATCCCCGGCTATCTACCAACCAGGATTGACAGGAGCCTGTTTGCAGGAGCCAGCTCGGTCTTGGAACACCCCCACCCCCACCCTCACCCCCACCCCAGGGAGAGCACACCAGACCCTTCTAAATCCCCCTAAGGGTCGTCCAGGGACCCTAGGGCTGCCCCTCCTCTTACTTGCTTCTGGCTGGTGAGCTGCATCTCCCTCTCCGTGATCTCACGGCGGAGATGGTCTACCTCGCTTCGCAGCTGCACAATCTCGTCGTTGGCACCGGAAGCCTCGTCAAGTTGTTTGGACAGATAGAAGTTTTGGTTGTTGAGTTCAGCGTTGTCCTCGGTTAGCTGGTTCAGCTGCTCCTCCAGGTCAGTGATGACCTATGGGGCAGGGGTGAGACGGGGTGCTTTTTTTTTTTTTCAAGGTCACTGTCATCAAGAAAATGCTTCTAGAACCAGTGGTTGGGAAAGGCGCAGTGGGACAGCGTCTCTGGGCACGACACAGCTATCTGACTTGAGCTCAGCCCGAGCTCCCTCACCAGGTCACTGTTACAGCACATACACTGGGGGGGGGGGGCGGTCTCCTTCCTCTCTAACTTGTGGTACATCTGGAAAACACGGCAAGAGCCAGTCAACCAAGAGCTGAATGGGCGGGGCGAGTTCAAATGAGATGCGGTTAGTAGCAGGAAGAATTATGCAAGGGGCGGGGGACACAGGTCAAGGAGATAGGACTGTCTCTGGGATTGCAATCATCTAATAAGACTGACCTCGACCTTGACACCGCCTACAGGGCTCCGCCACTGCAGACAGCCAAGGTCCTAGAGAGCCAAATAAAGTTTTATCAGGGGATGGGGGGGGGGGAGAATCACACTGAAAGACACTAAGGGTTATTTGAATAAAATCACGGGCAGTGAATTTAATTCTGTGTAACAAAGATGGGGAAGGAATCTTAAGGGAGGCTGGGGTAATTCTGAGGATACAATAGCGTATCTCCGTGCGGCTTTAATGGATTCTGCTACACAGTGAGTTCTCCGAGTATATGAAATCGTCATTTTATTGAGAGAGATTTAATCTGGTTTTACTAAATTATTTCCCTGTTCAATGGCAGAATGACTTCAATTTCAGCACGCTTAGCTTGTCTGTTCTCTTCCTGGCTGAGGCTTAGCATCGGTGCTTGTGGAGAACATTCATATAAAATACTTTAGAAGTTTAAGGGTAATTTCCCATAATAGTTAGAATACGGCACATGGGCCATAAATCAAATTTTATGTAACGGAAAGAAGTAAATTAAAAGGAAACGTCTTTAAGCCTATAGTTATTAGCTGTTTTGGGTTTCGACACCTACAGCAGACATACTTCATGATCTGTTGGCATTGCTATCATGCCTGACACCTTATTTCAACCCTCTTAATCCATTTAAAAATAGGAAGGTCTTCCTGGGCACATAGAATCTGAAAACACAAAGTAAGGATATTTCTTTGACGTAGCCCATAAAGGGCATCATCTTACTGAGCAACTAGCCCCTCGGGGTAGAAGAGGCCTAGGGACCTGTTTGGGACAGGGAAACCCATGTGGGCCCCTGTGTGCCGGTAAGCGGTGCACTGAGAGAGACATGGGAGACGAAGACCTGGTCAGTCACTTGGACAAGGCAGCTTCCTCAGAGCCCTGGAAAAGGAGCCTTGCCCAGTCCCCAAGTGACCCCTGTGTCACCCTCCTGGTGCCGTGGTAAGCTGAGACAGACAACTCCACACATTCAACCTGCCGTCACCCTACACAAAGTAACCCCACACTTGGGGTCCTCCCCCTAGGCCCTTCCCCATTCCTTCTTTCCCAGGCGGGGCTTCCCTGTGTAGCCCTGGCTGCTCTAGAACTCACTCTGTAGGACAGGCTGGCCTCAAAGCCTGCCCCTGCTTTGCAGAGTGCTGGGAGAGAAGGTGTGAGCCACCACCGCCCCCGCCCCCGCCACCACCAGGCTAACCATTTTGTTTCTTCCTGCCCCTTCCCCACAGAAAATGAGCAGAATGGGACAGACAAGCGAGCCTGGAAGATTCCGGGACTCAATGAGTTTGAACTCGGGTGGGTTTCTCCATCTGTGACAAGGAGATTTTTTTTTTTTTTTTAATCTTTAAATTGTCTTGTATCTATTCAAGTCCTGTGGCATGAGATATATACGGGATATAAATTAATTACCAAAACGGAGTTTCATTCTGAAAAGGCCTCTTGGGGAACAGACCAACTGCAGAAAAATCTATTCGCAGAGAATATATAATTTCCTTGCCGTTCAAGGTTATATTTAAGCTTTGATTTACAAGGGGAAAAAATAGTTTATTATGAACCCATTTCTGTCATAAGTTCTCTTTTGACCAAAATAAGGTTATAGAGAGCCAAAGAAGAAACCCGTGAAAAACTAAAGAGGTGGCAGAGTCGGGTTCCTTCCCGGCTTGAGGCAGGTCTAATGGAGGGGGAAGGGTCCCTCCACTCCTGGTGCGGCCGGGTCTTTTAGGGACCTGTGTCTCAGGTCTATTCCCAGCATCTGACTGTTGCTTTGCCTCCGTTTTCCTCGTTTGACTAGATGAGTGCACACAGAGCTTTAAAGTGTCTCCACTCTTTGGACTGTCCTATCTGTCTAAGTCAGAACTTGCCGGGTTCTGCTGAGGGGAAATTTAGGACAGCCTCTGCCTGCTTTATTGAGGTTATAGACACCGAGCCGGCGTGACGCACTGTCACCGGGTGAAGTATGACAAGCAATCCCTTCAGCTGTTCTTTGAAGTGTTATTTCGGCTCCGCTTTTATAGACGGGTGGTAAGTTAGGCCAAGCAGGAGGCTAAGAGGCTTTGCCAAGGGCACACAGCCCGTAGATAAAGAGGTCAAGCCTTGAACACAGCCTGAAACTCAAGACTCTTCTCTTAGCCCTCCATGACGCTGCCCCAGAGACAGATGTTGGGGACACACAGACTCCCGAGGCCTCTTTTTGTGTTTGTTTCTGTGAGGCATATATAGCCTCGATCGGCCTAAACCTCATCATCCCCCTGCTTCAGCCTCCTCGGTCCTGGACTTACGGGCGTCTGACAACATGCCTGGCGCTCTTCTTGCTTTTGAACCAGGTAACGTGAAAAAAACTCTTAGGTCATCTTTGTGACCATGAGTAAGTTCTTTCCACACTGAGGGCAGATGGCCTGCTTATTGACAGCCTCAGTTATGAGAGTCCATTAACTTTTAGGCCCCAAGAACAGAGGGTTTAAAAAATAAATAGATAAATGGAAAGCCTAACTCTTATCTTCACAGTAAAAAAAAAAAAAAAAAAAAAAAAAAAAAAGACAGGGCAGAGGGCAGCTTCCCTACACGGAGCCAGCCAGGTTTTCTTGTAGGTTGTTTTTGCTTACGACAGATCTTGGTGCAGATCTGAATGAACAAGAATATAAAACTGTCTACTCCCAGTGTCAGGGAGGGAAAAAAAAACTATACACACACACACACACACACACACATCTACCCATGTTCTCTATCTGGAGTTATCTGCTGCTTCTCAAGTCTATCCTGTGAACCTCACCATCACTGAACTGCATGCTGACCCCCTCACACCTAACTGGGAGACATGGAGCCAGAAGCTGCCAAGGGAAAGGACCAATGGTGCTCAGCGGGGAAGCGGCCAGGCAAACAATGGGCGGCGTCAGTTGGAGGCTCGGGGCCCCATCCTATTTTAATGCCTACTTTCCCAAAGGCAGCTATTTGCATATTATTTATTTTTAATCTTATAGCTGACAGATTGATTCATAATTAAAGCTGGGTCATATGCTTGCCCACCAACTCTCCTCTAAAACAGACTCGGGGAGGGGTTTAGGTGCCAGATTGAATCTCATCCTTTTTTTAAAAATCCCTTCTAAACACAGAAATGGTGTGAGCCTGGAAGTCTCCTGCCCGCCCCCTCCCCACCCCCCAGGATTGTGAGATCACTAACTGGCACTCCTCCTGACTGAGTTGGTGTGGTACTCTTACCAGTGACAGTAGGGGCGCTTCCTAGCAGAAGCCACCTCGGACAGTACCCAAAGGGTACCAGGACAAGCTCCTGCAGCATCTTTAAAGGGGCCTTGAGCTTGACACCCACTACTGTGGCTAAATGACTTGAAGCCGTAGTTCCCAGGCTTTTTAACATATTAGGGTCATTTTTCCAAACCAAAGGTTATTCTAGGTAAGTGGAGAAGCCCACATCACTTAGTCCTTTGCAAGGGCCCAGGCCCTTGCTCTCCTCATCCCATTTAACTAATACACGAGTCCTTGGAGGTGGTATCCAAGCTCCAACGATCTTGTGATTCTGAAACTCAAATACTTGTCAGAACCGGACAGTTCCCCATCTTTCCTCATTAACTGTGAACTGGAAACATCAGTGTCATGCTGGAGGTGAGCCTACGCAGGCCAGCCCCATTTGCAACCAAGAAATGGCAGCTTGGGAGGATGGTATCGGTCAGGCTGCTAGATGCCACCTTACAACAGGGACCCTGTCTGCCTGACTCCAGAGCCCGCGGCTTGGACCACTGTCTCCCAGCTGTTCTAGCTCATATGCCGAATGGTGGACACACAGTTAGATGCCTGCACCCCAATTCGGAAAGGGTAACAGAAACCTTGCCACCAAATGCCAGTGGCAAAGGAAACAGATATGAGAAATCACTATCTCACAGAAATCAAATTTAGAAAGTATAATATCACATAAGCCAGAAATCAAATTGATTCCACATGATGTCAGGTTCCCTTATGGACAAACGTGGATTTTTAATAATGGTGGTGGGCTCCACAGAGTAACAGTACATTTCTTATCCCCACCCTCTTGGCTTCACCTGGTTATACACACTCTGGAAGCCCTGGAGCCTATTTTATACCGATCACGCCTCAATCATACACAAAACGGCTTATTTTTAATTTCTTCTGCTAGAAAACTAAAGGCAGTAAAAAAGAGGCCTTCAGGCAAATGAAACGGGTTAACCGATTGATACCCATCCTACTTTAAGGAAAAATTCGTCATGTAAAGGGGTGACGGTTAATGTCTTATTAGTTGATGAATAAAGCTGTTTTGGCCAGTAGACAGACAGGGTGCAGCCAGGCATGGAAATATGAGTGGAGCTACCAGGCTACGAGACTTCTGGGTAGAAGAAGACAGTGAGTCTCCAGGGAGACGCCACGTGGCTGCTGAGGAAGCAAGAGACCTGGGCTTCACCGTTAAGCCAAGACCACATGGAGATGCACAGATTAATAAAAATGGATTCATAATTAAGAGAGAGCTAGCCAATAAGAAGCCCAAGCCATTGGCCAAACAGTTTATAATTAATATAAGCCTCTGTGTGTTCTTTGGGGACTAAATAGCTATGGGACTGGGCAGTAACAGAAACGTCCATCACAATTATTTTTCTTTTTACTTTTCATTTAATCTTGCTGGTTTAGAGTATCTTGACTAAAAAAGAGGTAGTTATACGTTTATCTACTAAATGTATCACCCTTTCTCTTCACAGGCTCCTGGTTCTAACTGGTGTTTATGTATACTGGAACGAGTCTCGGGGACAGAATGGCGGCCTTGGCCTGAAACCTAAGCACTTTGAAGGCTGGGCAGGAAGACATAAAGCTTAAGGCCAGCCTGGGCTACATGATGAGATCTCGTTTCAAGATAATTGAATAAGAAAGAAAAATGGGGAAGTCAGAAAAGGATCTGTATTTTATTACTCTGTGATCAGACAGACATTCATAAGCATGTATGTGGTATAAGCACATTACTGGTGTGAAAATTAGAAACTAAAAACGCTAAATGGACGACAAGTCCAGAATCTACCAGTTCCACCTCAAGGAATGGGGAGAAGAGGCCACTGACAGGCATGTGGAGGCAGGTGCCTTCCCCACCGCATCTGGACATACAGATGAACACAATGGCATCCCATGGCTGGTCACACGCTCCCCAGAGGTCAGAGCTTGCAGCCACCAAAGGACCTGCACAGACCGTTCCAGAACAGGAAATGAATGGACGTGACTGAGGTTCCAGTCACACTCTGAAAATACCGAGGGAAACTGAACAGAACAAAGTGTTGCCAGGTCCACACACAATTCAAAGTGAGAGGAAGGAACCTCAGCCCTCAAAGAGCACGTTCCCTACGGTTCCACTTACGCCAAGTTCAAGGTTAGACAAAATTCAGTTCTGGCACCGGAATGGCTGGCAGAAACCGTTAGGGACAAAGGGTTCTCACGGGGTGGGCAGTGGGAGCCACCTACGGGCTGAGACGCCCTGCAGCTCCATCTACAAGTGACTACTCAGGCTGCTGAGGTGCAAAACTCTGAGAGAGGGCACCCAAGGCTGGGCGCCCCAGTTAGAGCTGGTGACGGGGTCCCTGTGAAGGTAAAGGACAGATGCACTTGTGTGGGAGGGGGCGTCTCTGGAAACTCACAGGTGTGTATGGCACAAGCCCAGACAACACGGCTGAGAACCCACAAAAAGAGCACAGATACAGAAGCACAAACAAGGACCGCGTCCCCGTCTCATAAAAGGGGCCTGCTTCTGTCCTTCATTTTGATCAAAAATAGACTTCGCTTCTACTCTGCCTTGACTAGTTATGTAACCCATGAGCGATGCTCGTCTGCTAATAGAACCCTCACAGAAGTGACGTCACCCACAAGGCAGATTACCCCCCCCCCCCGCCCCCAGGGAGATAAACTTTGTTGATACACAGGAGAACTTACTGGCCCTTCTTCTTGGCAGAGGCCACAAGCTGGAGAAGCCACATGGAAAACCAGTGCCTGGCATTTGGATAGGTGCCTGCCCGGCTGTGCCATGGACCCTTCCACACTTGGGGGAAGGGGATGAGAGCTTTGCTGATGCTACTAAATCTATTTACAGTTTCATAGTGAAGGTCCAAATAGGATGTTTCTGGCTTTCTGTTTTGAGATATGTTCTTATCTGTACCCTGGCATCACCTTGACCTCACAAGCCTTAGCTACCTGTACAGGTACATGCCCCACACCCAGCTACAGTGACAATTATTTGACTATTTTCGCCACCACAACTACCTTCCTCTCCCAAGCCTAAAGAATGGTTTTGACACCCTTAAAACCAGCAGCCCCCTGAAAAACTAAAACAAAACAAAGTATCGTGGACTTCAAGCCGCAAGCGCATATGGAAAATCGGTCACCGGTACAATGACACCAGGGACACCGCCCGTTCATCTTTGGCTTGTCTGTACTCACGGTGCAGCTGTTTCGCAGAGCATCAAACTTGCGCTGGATTTCATCTCTGTGGGCCTGAAAGGTAAGGGGCAAGTTAGCAAGTTATAGATTTTTCATAGGGTAGAATGCAAGTCTCCGTGCTACGTGCAATTGGCTTAGAACGCCGTGGACACTGTTGCAGCCGCCGCTGCAGCCGCCGCTTTGCAGAAAACTAATTGATCCAGCTCATCCCAGTCTGGCATCAGTGAGAAGTAACGGGGACATACTGTTCTGTGTTAAGTGAGCACAGCTACTCAGACCGCGTGTCGTGAGCATCAGACAGATGTTTTTATATTCATACTGACACCTGGGGAGTGCTGGGGGGATGGGTAATAAAGGACAATGCTCCCACTGCTCTTCACCGGCCCTAAACCGAACCCCAGTGCTGAAAATACGAGGAACCAGCCTAGTAGACAAACAGGCACACACACACACACACACACACACACACACACACACACAGACGCACATGAGAAAGAGACACTGCTTAAAAATTAAAGCTGCTAAGATCACAACATTTTACACTGACCTGGAAGTAAAAAGATTCACACAACCTCACACTGACCTGGAAGTAAACACCCCAGCTTTCTCTGAGGCGTAGCTACCCTAAAACGGCAGCGTTTCTGCTAGAGTTTGGATGGTAAGTGCCTTCTAGCGGCACTTGTGTCAAAGGCGTGTAGTTAGCCTGCGGCACTAACGGGAAGTGGAGAAACCCTCAAGGCGTATGGCCTAGCAGAACTTAACACATACTCTCCCCATCTCCCTCTCTCTCCCTCTCTCTCCCTCCCTCTCTCTCTCTCTCTCTCTCTCTTCCTCTCTCTCTCTCTCTCTCCCTCTCTCCCCCTCTCTCTCCTTCCCCTGCTGTCAGAAGTAAACGCCACCACCCCTGCCCACCACCACCACCACATACCCCATACTGATAACACTAAACTGTGTCACAGCCAGTAACGTTCTTCCTCAGGTCCAATAACGGGTATTTCGTCTTAGTAAGGGAAAGCTGACTGACACGATTCTTATCAGCACTTAGATAGGATACACGCACACATAACCGTTCTGGTGAAGGGAGAGACCCCAAGGCAAGAAAGGACTTGCCACAGGTGGTGGGCTTAAAAGCGCCGAGTCAGCAGAATAGGGTTCTAGACAGAAAAGAACACCCTAAGTCAGCAGCAAAGAATACCCTAAGTCAGCAGCACAGACACACATTAACAAGAAGCTCAGACGTTCAAACGGCGCCGTGTGAGGGCTGAGCCCGAGGACATTGTAGCATTTTAAACACCGCAACAGGAAACAAACACACAACAACGACGAAAAACTGCCTAGAGCTCTGTAACCAATAAAAAAAAAAAAAAAAACCGATCTGTCCAGGTGAATAAAAGCAAGGCTGCCACCGACATAGGCTGAAAGGACATCTTCCCACTGACATAGGCTGAAAGGACATCTTCCCACCGACATAGGCTGAAAGGACATCTTCCCACTGACATAGGCTGAAAGGACATCTTCCCACTGACATAGGCTGAAAGGACATCTTCCCACCGACATAGGCTGAAAGGACATCTTCCCACCGACATAGGCTGAAAGGACATCTTCCCACCGACATAGGCTGAAAGGACATCTTCCCCAGCAGACCCTTGCTACAAACACAGAAACCCTTCAGGTGGGACAATGGCAACTGTGTGTAGATGTTGTCTGCGCAGGGCCCCTACTGAGAGCTGCTGGGGGCCTGGTGAGAGGCCCCTAAGGTCGTGGAGACCTTGAAAGTGACTGTGGACCCAGCCCCTCACTCTCCCCTCGACTGCTTACTGGTCACAAGGTGAGCAGAGCGATCTGTGTCCACTGCGCCCTGCCACCACACGCTGCTCTGCCACAGAGTCAAACACAAGGAGCCAATCAGTCATGGGCAACGGCCATCAAAACTATGACCCCCAAAACCAACCGCTTTCTCCTTTCACGTTAATTGTCCCGGCTACTCTGTTGCCATGATGGGACGCTGACCAAATATAGCCAGCAACAACAAAAGACTAACTTGCTGGTCTGAGAATAACATTTACCCAGCTTCAGAACAAAGCCATCACTACTGCTGTTGGAATCTCGCTTAAACCCCATGAGCCCCCTCAGATGCACGCCCTGATCATCATGGACAAAAATGAAGGATTTATCTATCCAGGGAGAACAGGTTCTTACTTTTGGGGTCAGCAAGATTTGTGGGGTTTTTTTTTTTTTTTTAATTTATTTTGTTGTTGTTTGGTGGCAAAAATACTAGAGGTTTTTGGTCTGCAAGCCAATTTGAGCTACTTAAATAATCCCTCACAAGGGCAAAAGTCCCTACGGAAAAGATGAAAATGAGGCTGGAGAGATGCCTTGAGTGAGGTGGTTTGCCAGCGCCCACCTAAAAAGCTGAGCACACAGGAACACCGATCGCTCGCTGTAAACCTGGTGCTGGGGGCGGAGACAGGAGAGTCCCGGGGACTCACTGCCAACTGTCGAGGTACAGGGTTAGTGAAACACATTTTAAAAAAAAGTAAAGTGGAGAGCGATAGAAGAACTCTCTTGATTCAGACCTTTGGCCTCCGCATCACAGGACACACACAGGCAGACACATAAGGCAACGCCCCCCCCACTCCCTCCACTTGGTATATAAACTGTCAATAAGTAAGAAAGAGATTCCAATAAGTCTACATACACTATTAAAAACTCATTCTACTGGCCTGATGGAATCTGAAATTCCAGCCATGGATGGTTCATTTCAATTAAAATTTGCCATTATGAAGCCTTTGGCTGGTTCGGACACATCAGACTCCAGCCCTCGAGGAGGCAAAATGCAATGAGCCACTGTCATGACGGCTCTGGTCTGATGGGGAGGCATAAGTATAGAATGTAAAGCTGGTCCTCTTGTGGGTGTGTGACAGCATCTCCATCAGATTTGATGACTACCCAACGGGTCCCAGAAAGGAGAGGGCTGCAGTCACGACTCTGAGTTAGGAGAGCGGATGGACACACAACTCAGAGTTAGGACAGGGGCTTCTGACCATGACTCGGCAGCTAGGAGAGTTTGCTCTTGTAATGTACCTGGATTTAGTTCCCAGCACCAACATGGCAGCTCACAATTATCTACAACTCTAGTCCGGGTGATCTAGTAACCTCTTGTGGCTTCCTCGGGCACTGCATGCGCATGGTGCAGACAGACATGCAGACAAAACGCCCACATACATAAAATAAAAAGTTAATAAATCTAGCCGGGTGGTGGTGGCGCTCGCCTCTAATTCTAGCACTCAGGAGGCAGAGGCAGGTGGGTCTCTGTGAGTCTAAAGTCAGGCTGGTCTACAGAGCTAGTCTAGGATGGCCAAGGTTACAAAAGAAATCCTGTCTTGAAAAATCCAATAATAATAATAATAATAACAACCACAATAACAGCAATAAAACTTTAAAAATTGAAAGGAAGTGGGTACAAGATACTGATGTTTCCTTGAAACTGGGAGAAGGGATCCACACGACATGCGTTCAGGGATGGTGAGACAGGCTTTGGGTTAGGCCACTGGGTGCTAATTAAGTATGGGGGGCAAGCTACAGGAAATATTTATGCTCTAAAATTATCAGAGACCCCAGAAAGTAAAGATATTAACATAGCGAGCACAGAATGCCAACCAGACAACATTGTTACGAAAACAGCCTAACCTCAATACCTTGTGGGGATCCCCAGGCCCCACGTGGGAACCTCGGGACTTAGAGAGCTGGCCCAGGGGTTAGTGACACTCTCTAGTTGTCTCTTAGAAGGAAAAGGGGAACCTGAACTACAGTTACAAGAGGAAAGGCTGCAGGGTAGGGACAGGAAGGCAGTGCTCAGCGTCTGGCCACCTTCCAGGATCCACAGCCCGCAAGCCTCCAGCCTTTCTGGCTTTGTGCCCCGAGTTCACGTCTTGACTATAATGCCAACAGCTTAGTAACTGCACACAAGGCTTGACGTCTGCACGAAGGGATGAGAGCCTGCACTGAATCCAAGGTGACGGCTTTGGGCACAGTGAGTGGGGGCGTCTCATCGGGGCCCCAAGCTTTCCGCCGCTTATTATTTGGCTAAGTCTCTCCACCAAATCAGTAAAAGAACACTGGGGTCAGGACCACAGAGCCGCCCGCGGAGCCGCCCACGGAGCTGCCCGCGGAGCCATGCAAAGTGTGTGCCACTTCTCTCCCAGGCTATCCAGAGTAACTCAGATGTCAAAAACACAGCTGTGCGCCACGACGAAGCCTGAGGATGGTCGACCGTTCTCGATCTCACGGGGAGGGGTGGTGCCATCCTCCGCACTGAGAGAGGGCGGAAACTGCCTTCTGTTATCAGGAGTGGTCTCTAAATCGCGGTGGTCATGGTTCAACTCTGCTGCAGGTGTCTCCCTTGACCCAACCTCAGCTGTTGGTGGCCAATTTCAACGCAAAACCAATCAACAGGCCTAAAATCCATATATGAGCAAGTACATACCATGTTCCTCTTTTTGTGACCGGGTTACCTCATTCAGGATGGTTTCTTCAAGTGCCATCCACTTGCCTGCGAATTTCAAGATTCCATTATTTTTTTTTCGGCAGAGTAGTATTCCATTGGGCAGATGTACCACATCTTCTTTATCCATTCTTCAGTTGAGGGGCATCTAGGTTGCTTCCAGGTTCTTGCTATTACAAATAATGCTGCTATGAACATAGTTGAGCACATGTCTTTGTTGCGTGGATGTGGATCATTTGGGTATATGCCTAAGAGGGGATTTGCAGGGTCCTATAGTAAACTAATTCCCATTTTCCTGAGGAACCGCCATAGTGACCTCCAAAATGGCTGTATGAGTTTGCACTCCCACCAGCAATGGAGGAGTGTTCCCCTTTCTCCACATCCTCTCCAGCATAAGCTGTCATTGGTGTTTCTAATTTTAGCCATTCTGGCAGGAGTAAGATGGTATCTCAAAGTTGTTTTGATTTGCATTTCCCTGATAGCTAAGGATGTTGAGCACTTTCTTAAGTGTCTTTCAGCCTTTTTGATTTCCTCCATTGAGAATTCTTTC